GGCTGAAGCTAGTCTGCACTGAGACTGCATCCTTGCTTAGCTATTTTCTCCCCCTGCCCTATCCTACCCTCTATCCTGAGAGCCTTCCTTCAGTAAATCACAACGTACCTGATTCTCTTTTTTGGACTCTGCTACTAAGGAACCTGAGCTAAGAAGAAAACTGATGATGCAGTAGGTGGAGAAAATAGCAGGAGAATATAAATGAATAAACACCCCAGACGTCCTCTACCCAGGTCTTCCCTATCCAAAAAGTCTTCTCATACAATCCAATTCTGTCCTTTTAGAGGAAACAGCCTGATGAGTTAATGAATGTCATTCCTCAGACTTTCTAGCTGCGGACACAGCTAACTGTAATAAAACATGACTTGCACCAAAAGAGAAAGCTCTGCAGTGACCTTAGAGGAGGAAGTTGATTTCCGCCGAACCCCCCACCCCAGCTTAAGTGTGTCTCTTCCTTCACTCCCTTCCCCCAACCCCAATATTTTCAAGCACCGAGAAGCAGACACAAGCACCTTCTCTCTAGCTCTGTTTTTTGCTCATCTAATCTTTCCCATACTGTGTCCTGGTTATAATAGTTTCCTGGGACCTTATTCTTTTCTGAATCTCCGGCCCCAAGCAGAGGGCCTGGCCCCAGGAGTACTCTGTAAATAATTACTGAGAAATTTGGGGAAGGTGGGGGAGTGTGGAAAGGGCAAGGGGAGAATACCAGGAGGAAGGAAGGATCCTTCGCTCTGAGCCAGATGGAAAGAGGTTCTAGGGAACCAATGCACCCTGAGCCTGGGGTTTGGCTACAAGAGCCCTGTGAAAGCTCCGAGAAGGCGGGCCAGACTTCCCTGTCCGACACCCAGTCCTTTAGCCGGCTCAGGGCAAAAACAGCCGCCGATAAAGCTGATTGGGAGACACGTGGAGGGGCCGGGCTCAGGGGCCGTGAGCCGAACGTCGCTTGACTTCGAAGGGACACATCCGGCCGGTGGCAGCCGGCGTCGGGTGAGTCCCGCTCCGCCAGCGGAGCGCAGGGCGCGCGGCACGGGCACCGAGGGCAGGAGGCGCGGGGACTCGGCACTTCCCCCAGGGTCTCGCGTTCGCAGACTTCTCGCCCGGGAGGAAGGCAGTCGTCCGAGAAGAGAAGCCGAGGTGTCTGCCTGGAACTGTGCGCAGGACCGACTGGACGCCCTCAGGAGGCACGAGGGTGACTCTGGCAGTCGTCCCGGGGCGCGCGCGGTCCCCGGAGGCGGCGGGGCTGAAGGGCGCAACCAGATTCCTGGGCAGTGAGGGGAGAGCCGCAGTGGGAGGTGGGGGTGACCCACGGTCCCATTTCCTGGAACTCAGGACCGAGTTCGTTTTCTTTCCTCGGCTCTGAGGGTGGAGCCGCCCGCTCGTGTCTCCGACTGCTTCCAGCTAAAGAAGGCGCGGCAAAGGGGTGGGCTCCGGGTGGAGGTCGTTGTGGAAGGGCCTCGGGAACCCAGCTCAGAAGAATTGGCCAAGCAGCCCCAGACAGACAACTCCAGACAGTGGGACATTGCCAAGGGAGATGACTCCAGATCTTGATGATTAATGCCCTCTTCCTTTTCTGGGGGCCCATTTTAGACACAAGGAGAGTAACCTTATGTAAAATGTCTCATCAGGAAAGGTTGCTTGGTGGCATTTTTCGGAAGGGAGGAGGAAATGGCATTAGAGTTCTCAATGGATTTATATTGTTACTACCGTTTTAAGATTTTTCACTTTTAAAATTAGTGACTTTTACCCCTCATTGTTTTTCTGCAAGTAACATATCCTTATCAAGGTTGTTAGCAGGTTTACATATTACAAATAGCACCTCAATGCACGTCCTTAGTATCCAACTATCTGTACACATATGAGCTTTTCCACAGCACAAGTTCCTAGAAATTCACATTGTTGAGTCAAATTATATATGTATTTATATTCCCTTTCATCCTTTTGGTATCTTTATCATATACTTAATAAGCCCTAAACAACTTTAGTAATTATAATTTTAATATCTTATAGGTAAGTCCCTTTTTATTACAAAAATCCTTGTTATCGCTACTAATTTCCTCTTTCAAATGAACTTGAGGACCATTTACTTTCAGTACCAAAACGTGCCATTGCGAGTTTTATTGGAGCTGCATTAAATTGGATTTACCTTTGGAAAGGATTGCCAGGTTTGTCATTTTTAATCTTCCCAGCTAGAAAAATAACAGTTCTTTCCATTTCGTTTTTTGGTTTTTATTGTGGCCATGCCTGGAGGCACTCGAGATCTTAGTCCCCCAACCAGGGATGGAACCTGAGCTCCTTGCAGTGGAAGCACGGAGTCTTAACCGCTTCTCTGCCAGGGAAGTCCCTCTCCATTTCTTGAAGCTTTGTTTTCTGTGGTTTTCCTCATACCACATTATCACTCTTCCTGCGAAATGTATTGTTTTAAATTGTTGCTTTGATGAGTGGGATATTTTTTCCGATTATCTTTTGATTAGTTGTTTCTGAGATATGGCTTTTTTGATGAGGCTGACAATAAGATAACTGAAGCTTGGAGCTATGAAGCTGAAATCCTCAAGGTTCCTTGAGCAACATTTTCACATCTGCCTTTGTCTCCGGTGGACCAGAGAAAGGTATATAGTTCATTGCCCTCAGGAGTCCCAAGAAATGGCCTTGAAGCTCTCTGCTTAGCAACTGCGAATAGCTGGGCAGCCTGAGACCCACTGAGTCTTTTTAGGCATGCCCTAAAACCTGTTACTTCTCTTGTTAGATCAGTATAACTCCAAGGCAACAACAAAAATGTATCAATTAGTTGCTTATTTGGTTTGGCTTCTGCTAGTTTCTTACTCATGCTTTTAAACCAGATTTGGGCTCCAGACCAATTACCTTCTTGGAATAGAACTGTTGAGATTAACTTTGTTTAAAAGTACTTTAGAGGGACTTCCCTGTCTGTCCATTGGTTAAGACTCCGCACTCCCACTGCGGGGGAACTAAGATCTTGCCTGCCAAAATAAAAGTCCTTTGGCAACCGTTTCTGTGGACTTGTACTTATTTAAATGCAACCTTTCCCTACCTCAGGATCTTCACCTATACAATGCAGATAACCACAGTGAGCTTGTGGTTCCAAAGCACTTAGCCTGTAGTAATCATCGCTATTATCATCATTCATTACTGAACACAGTTGCCTTTGGTTGCAAGTACAGCAAACACGATTCAAAGGAGCTTAAACAATAAGGAAGATTACTGGTTCATGAAACCTGTAATTGAGGAATGGGGTAGACTTCAGGGTCAGTTCAAACCACCAGTGGCTCAATGTTGTCACTGAGGACTCATTCTTTTCTTTCCGTTCTGCCATCTGTAGGTTAGCCTCATTCCACAGCTTTAGAATCAGGGCTCCATGCTTTCTCACTCATATTCAGAGAAAGGTTGAGAGTTAGAAGCTGACTTCCTGGGCTGGCTTAGGGGAGCCAGGAAGTTCCCCAGCAAACGTACCCCTCAAAGTAGCCCAGGTGCCCAGTTTTGAACCAATCACTGTGATAAGCTACTAGGAATTGTCTGATGGCTTAGATCAACGTTTCTCAACCCCTGCACTATTGACATTTTGGGCTGGATCATTCTTTGTTGGCGGGGCAGGGTGGGAGGCATCCTATTCATCATAGCACCTTGACCTCTACCTGCTAGATGTCAATAACACCCATCCCCTAGCCGTGGCAACCAAAAATGTCTCCAGACGTTGCCAAAAGTCCCAGCAGGGAGTGGGGGCGTGTGCGAAGTCACCTTCAGTTTAGAACCACTGGCTTAGATACAAGTCTCACCCTTAGAACCAGGGGTGGGGCCAGCTCCCCACAAACTGATTGCTGAATGGAGGAGGAGCAGATAGTCACAGAAAATTTGGGCAACAATAGGAAGTAGAGAAATGGATGCTGTGTAGGCAACACAGATGTCTACCTCAACTCCTCTGGGCCTGAAAAATCACTTAGTCTTTAGTGCAAAGGCCTCTGAGGGGTCAGCACTTACAACATGAAGGCTTATTGATGCATCGGCCAATGGGGAGGCTGGAACAAATTTACAGAGTGCTAAAAACACAGTAGAGAGGGATAGAGGTGAGGACCAGGGAGGCAGGGCTGCTCAAGCACTGGGAAGAGAGACAGAAAAGAAAATTTGAGACTGCAGAAGCCAACTTCTATTACAGTCCTGAATATCCTGAGCCAGCTGTGGCCAAGGTAGTAAACTGAGGCTTCATGGGCAATATCCAGTTGACAAACATATTTTATTTGACCAACACAGTGTTGGACTGCACAGTTTTTAAAACATTTTTTGACTTGGTTGCAATATTTTAAATTGAGAGATTTAATATAAAAATCCAAATTTCTGATTGCTCTTTAAAAACTAGAAGATCTTCCACCACTGGGCCCTTTATCCTTGAAGAGTTGGTGACTTACTAGGTAATCCTTGCCTTATTTGGAAAGGGCCTGAGCTTTTCAACCTACTATCCTATAGTCACCCCTATACTTTGGCAGGATATATTTGTTAGAATAGGCTAAATTTATTTAATAAATAGACCCCAAAATATAACGGTTCAAATGCAATAGAAATTTAGTCCATGGCAGATATTCCAGGTTTATGAGCAGCTCTCCTCCAAGTGATGATTCCAAGATCCAGGATTCTCCCTTCTTGGGCTCTACCACACCTAGGGCTACATCATCCTGTGTAACCAGCTGACAGTGTGTGAAGGAGACAAACCTGACTCAGCCCAAAGTAACACTTATATTACTCACACCCCATTGGTGAGAACTAGTCACATGGCCACATCAAGGTGCAAGGAAGGCTGGGAAATGTAGTCCTAGCTGGGCCAACACTTTCCAGCTAAAACTGGAAGATTTTGGTGGACAGCAAGCCATCTCTACCTTACGTGAAATTGATGGGGAGACCTCTACAGCCATTTAAATCACAGACACCCTTAGCCCAGTAGTAAATATGCAGGAGATTCCTGGGACTTAAACAAATTTCATCTGTTTCTTCCAGATATGGATCAATTGAGGCAGATCATCTCCTTAGTCCAGCTTATCTACAACCAGTGTGAAGAGATGAAATACTGCCAGAAACAGTGCTGGCATCTAAGAAGCCATGTCCATGGCCTGCTGCAGCCTCTGCAAATGCTCCAGGCCCAAGGAGAGAGGAACCTGCCCACCGAGATAACCACTGCCCCGAAACGTTTCCAGGCTGCCCTAGAGGAAGCTAAGGAGCGGATAGATAAGTTCAGCAATAAATCCAGAAGTTTCTAACAGCAGGGCATGACAGAATACTCTTCAGTGGAGTGAACAAGAGGCTGAGAGATGTCTGGGAGTTCTCACTGCTGCTTCAGGTGGATCAACGGATGCATATTTCAAGCATCAGCCCAGGAGCATTCTGGCAACAGGAAGATCAATAGGACGCAGAGGAAGACAGGAAGGTTATCCAAGGACTGAGAAGTGGTAAGGAGTTTTTTTAGATGGGAGGACTCCAAATGGGGGTATCTTAGTCTCATTTTGGTTTACCAAAAAACCAGGAAGGCTGAAGAGGTTTTAGCAGGTATCTATTCATGTAACTCAGAACTCCGGACATCCCTGGGTACAGACATGGTGGGGGCTGGTGAGATTTGAGTGTGCCCCCAGTGGCGGGGTGGGGGTGATACTGATGAGTCGTGTTTCCCTTTCCATTCTCTTTGATGTCAATCCTCCCAGCCTTAGTTTTTCCAGGACGTTCCATTAATATGTAAATTATCCAGGAAGAAAAATTCACTAATTATCTAAACAAACAGGAATTGAGTACCATGTGCCAGGCACTGTTCTAAGTGCCAGAGATTCAACACAGAGCAAAATACACAAGATCTTTGCCTTCACGGAACATAAAGTCTGCAGATAGAGGGCTAAGTAAATTATTTTATCTAAAGGCAATAAAAATCATACGCATGGTAATGAGATGGAAAGTGACAGTAGGTGCAGTGAGAGTGGTCAGGGTGACATTTGAATGGACACCTTGAATAATCAAAAGGAGTGAGTCATGTGAAGTTGAGGGAGAGGTGCATGGCCGGGAAGACGATGAATGCAAAAGCCCTGAGGTTGGAATAAATATGGCCTGTGCAAGGAACAGCCGGAAGCCAGGATGGCTTTAGTGTGGTAGGTGGAGAGATACCAGATGAAAGTGGGGAGGTAGGCCAGAAGATACAGGAGCAAGGTCATGCAGGTCCTGGTAGGCCTGATAAGAATTTTAGATTTGGGCTTCCCTGGTGGCACAGTGGTTGAGAGTCCACCTGCCGATGCAGGGGACGCGGGTTCGTGCCCCGGTCCGGGAAGATCCCACATGCCGTGGAGCGGCTGGGCCCCTGAGCCATGGCCGCTGAGCCTGCGCGTCCGGAGCCTGTGATCCGCAACGGGAGAGGCCACAACAGTGAGAGGCCCACGTACAGCAAAAAATAAAAAATAAATAAATAAATAAATAAATAAATAAAGGACACTTTCTATTACTACCATAACTTGAAGACAAGAATCACTTATCACAAATAGGTGACCACAAATAAAACCAAAACAATGTTATTAAATTCTGGCTGCATGATGCCTCCTGCCCAAAGGCCTGCAATTCAGACCGGCATTCTCTTTGTGCAGAGGAGATGTCAGCAGATTTAGGGAGGTATTAAAGACATCCAACACCAAACTGAGACTTTCTTCTTGGCGTAATCGGAAAGACTGGAATTAAAAGAAGAATAATTTTCTCACTATGTCATCTTGCATACCACTTATCCATACTTTTGGAAATACTGCCTTATGTCTTTCTTGGAAATCATAAAGTTTATTCCTTCTCAACTCCCTACACTAGTGAGTTTTTGAGAAGTAATTTTGGACTGTAGGAGACACTGTTAGTGCCTATCCAGATGGCCTCTGATCCTTTTTACCTGCTCTGCACACTCATCCCCCACTCAGCATACTTTGCTGCTAACAGCTCATGGCCGCCATCTGCAGAGGAATATCCATGGGCGCTGGAGCCCCTTGGCCCTGAGAGGTGAAAGTGCCCAGGAGCTTTATAGCCACCTGTCCCTGTCCCTGTTCCTCTCCCCCCAACCCCACCCAGTCCACGGTCATTGAACAACAGGTGTGAGTACAAAAGTCCAGCTCCTTTGCGTCGTGCAGAACAAACCCTGAGGGGTAGTTATCCTCTAGAGGTCCCCTTGGGGTCAGGCTGAGCCTGGAACTTCACCTGAAGTCACACCCTTGCTTGATTTCTTCTCCTTCTCTGTCCTGCTTCCTCTACTCCCTCACCTGGTTTCTCCTGGGAATACCTTCTTAATCCATCACTTGTACCCAAATCCGTGGCTCATGGTCTGCTTCTGGGAGAGCCCAACCTAAGGCCAACTCTGTGATAACGCCCCAAACTGGGAGGCAGGGGCTCCATTAATCCAAAACACTTAACACTTACTAAGTTGGTGGGAACCCCAGCTTCACATTCTGTTTCAACCAGAAGGGTCCTAGGTATGGTCCAACCATCCCGCCATGCCTCTGAGCCCTTTGCTTTGCTCAGTGCTTCCCAGGCAGAGCACCACAGAGGCGTAGAGCTCACAATTGTCACATCTCACCTCTGCATCCCGGTTTTCCCACCTACCCGTGGATAGCAAAGTCTGTGCAAAGGTCACTAATGTTCCCTGCCTTTGGTCGTGTCAGGCTGCACCATTCGGAAACACCTGCAGAACTCCACAGAAACATCAGCAGCACGAGCTTCCTGGTGACTAAAGACTGCGACGTGAAGGTGAGTATGGCCTTCCAGGGGCCCTTTGAGTTCGACCTGTGTGACTGTTTGGTGCTAGGAGAGGGACGCACGTTTCCCAGAGGCCTGTGCTTGCTCATTTCTCTGCCTTCAACTGAGTTCAACTCTTCCCCTGCCTGGACAGCTTCCCGTGTGCCCACCACAGGACAGACTCAGTCCTGCCTGCTCTTCTGATGCCCATCGTCCACCACTGCCCAGGCACTCAGCAGGGATGGGCTAAGAGCCATTTCCCCTTAGATGCCTGGACACCACTTCTGTGTCCCTGCAACACCCATGAGGGGATCTTCTTAAGCCCAGGTAGGCATTCAGACTCACAGGCCAGCCATAGCCCACACTTGGCACCTGGAGGCAATTAGAAGGGCATCACGCAACACAGCTTGCCAGCAGGGCAGCATCAAATCCTTCTCTCCAGCCGGAGACGCCACACCTGTCCCCACAATCCTCCAGGAGATATTCTCCTCATCCTAGGTGTGACAGAAAGAGGCTCCCCTCGGGTGGGTGCGGGGCCATCCAGGCTTAGAAGCCTCACGACTCACAGGAGTCAATATTCTTTCTTTTTTTTAGATTATTTATTTATTTATTTATTTATTTTCTTTACTTTTTTGGGTGCATCGGGTCTTAGTTGCGGCACATGGGATCTTCGTTGAGGCATGCGGGATCCTTTGCTGTGGCACGTGGGCTCTTCCTTGTGGCACATAGGCTTCTCTAGTTGCGGTGTGTGGGCTGTCTAGTTGTGACACATGGGCTTTCTAGTTGAGGTGCAAAGGCTCAGTAGTTGTGGTGTGCCAGCTTAGTTACCCCAGGGCATGTGGGATCTTAGTTCCCTGACCAGGGATTGAACCCGCATCCCCTGCATTGGAAGGCGGATTCTTTACCACTGGACCACCAGGGAAGTCCCCCAGTAGCCCTTTATAGTCCCCATCCCCCCGACCTCTTGTCTATAAACAACTTACTAATCACCTATCATTTTAAAATCAGCAGCAATATTACTTAGGAGCATAGGTAACAGTCAGCGTTTGTCAGTTTCCCAGGGGAATAGAGCTAAAAGGTCCACTGAAATTCAGATTCTCCTATGGAAGAGAAAAGGCTTCTGTTAACTCGATGTCCACAGTTCCCAAGTGCTAAAAGAATATTTTCTCTGTCATCCACAGATAGCTTTCTCTGAATAACAGAAGACGGGGCTTTTCTGCCTTTCAGATGTCTTTCCCCGTAGCTGGTGTCATATAAGTGTTCACAAAGCACGGGCCTTCTCACACCTGACTGTAACATGTGCTATTCAGCCTTTCACCCCTGGTGGCTAGCGTGGAGCCAGATGTCAGAGGATGTCAGTGCTCACTGAACATGTGAATGAAAGGAGGAGGAGCCACCTAAGTGTCTAATCCTTTTTCTGACCTTGCCCCTACTTTTGGATCCCTGGTTGCGTTTAGGGCTGGCAGCCCTCTGCACACGGATGGTGCTGATGACAGATGTGCATGGACCAAGGAGAACGCACACTCCCATGACTTGTGCTGTGGCTTCTTTAAGAGCGTGGCATTGACCGTGCAGGGTCAGTGGGGTAACAGGCTGCCTATAGGTTCAGATACAACAGAGAGGATACCCCTGTGTTGGTTTTTTGTGTGTTTTTTTGGTCTGCTTCCGAGAGAAAATGAGCCATCGGTGACTCCAGGCACCCCGTCCACACTCACTCAGTGGAGCTGAGTCGTCAACTGAGAAAGCCCTGTATCTAACATAGTAACACTAGAACAACAACATACCAAGTCTTACAGGTGCTTTATAACCATCGCCTCAAGTAATCCTCATGCCTCATTTTATAGAGAAGAAACCTCTTTGTGTTTCTCTTGGTCGTTACACCATAATAAATTGAACCCAGGATGCCAGCCAGGAGAGTAGCCACAGAGCCAGAAGACACCACTGGAAATACATCCCAAAGGAAAAAAACCATCCCCTGAAAATCATGTGTAGCACCAACCCCTTCCCTCTATCCCCCACCCGAGATGGTGCTGTTTCTTTCTGTCTCTGAGTCATTATCTAGCTTGCAGGATTTGAGTTGAGAAAACACAGACTTCCATCAGCTGACCAACTAAAGGAAAAGAAGCAGAGAGAGTCAATTCTGCCGCATACATCTCACCTCAGAGACTGGAAAATGTGTTTAATAAATATGACATAAAAGCTGAAATATACAGGTATGTTTATGTTCTCGTGCAGATTCTAACTCAGATGAACGGGACAAGAAAGTCCAAGTCAAATGCCATTAGGGAGGAGCACCTTAACTCTGTTGAATGGAATTGGGTGGTAATCAGAAAATTCACCGTGAGGACTTCCCTGGTGGTCCAGTGGTTAGGACTCTGCGCTTTCACTGCCATGGCCCAGGTTCAATCCCTGATTGGGGAACTGAGATCCCACAAGCTGCTCAGCACAGCCAAAAAGAAAATCCACTGTGTTTTCTGGAAATGGCTAGAGGGGCATGGGAAAAGGGAAACTTGTTACGGTTGTTCAGTTTCTTGGTTCTCTTTTAGCTTTGGAATCGCCCTCTGGGAAATCGCCACTGGGAAAAGCCCATTTGAAGGTAACCAGTGTGAAAGTTGGCTCAGATGGTGCTGGGATTGGGTCGCCTTCCAAGAGACTAGAAATTCCCATCAGTGCTGTCCTGGGCGCTTTGTTCTTCAGTGTGGGCATTGCCTGCGCTTGTCATTGGGGTCATTGGAAGCTCCTGTTTCTTCAGTTCTCAAAGTCCCTGGTTCCATTGCCAGCATCCAGCTGATGCCAACATCAGCATCCAGAGAGATGTGTGTGTGCCAGAGCAATTTTTAAGCCTCCCATCCTATCATTTCCATGCCAGGCTGTGATTCCAAGAAGATCTACCAGCTGGTGGCTGTGGACCGGCACCAGGAGCCAGTGGATAAAGATTGCCCTTCACAGTTGCAGGAGATCATTGATGATTGCTGTGCATATGAGCCCTCCAGGAGGCCCTGTGTTAAAGGTAGGGCTTTTTCTGGTCTAAAGAGCATGGGCCACATGTGTTACTTAACATTTGTGAAAGATTTTCCTTATGTATCACAACCAGGGGTTGTTTTGCCCTTCGGGGGACATTTGGCAATGGCTAAAGACATATTTGGCTGTCACAACTCAGGGGAGGTGGGGTGGGGTGGACATGCCATTGGCATCTAGTGGATAGAAGCTTCTCAACATCCTACAAGGCACAGGACAGCCCCCTACAACAAAGATTATCCGGCCCAGATATCAATAGCACAGGAGTTCAGAAACCCAACCCTAAGGGCATTGTTTAGTCTAAAGTTGGGTTGCGAAGGCAGATTACTCCAGCCTATATTCTTTCTCTCCCTTCCTTCTCTTTTATCAGCATCCTGGGGGTAATTTCCTCTACTCAGACTTTTTTTTTTTGCGGCACGCAGGCCTCTCACTGTTGTGGCCTCTCCCGTTGCGGAGCACAGGCTCCGGACGCGCAGGCTCAGCGGCCATGGCTCACGGGCCCAGCCGCTCCACGGCATGTGGGATCTTCCCGGACCGGGGCACGAACCCACATCCCCTGCATTGGCAGGCAGACTCCCAACCACTGTGCCACCAGGGAAGCCCTCTACTCAGACTTTTATTTCACCAGGTTATCAGCTGCTCCTCCGTTTCTTTACACCATCTCCCTCCCTGGGAATGTCTCCCTCTCCCACTCTAGATCCAAATTTCTCAGACTTTCCATGAAGCTCCAGACACAAGAGAACATGATTCACAGGCAGTAGCCCCGGATTGGGGAAATGTTTCCACTGAAGTTGCTACAGAGTTCAAAGATACAAAATAATGTTTTTCTTATCTTTATTGTGATATGTATCACAGGACAGTAGTGTATAAAATATATATGTGCAATTTTTTTTAAGTCAGAGGAAAAGAACATCACATATCCACCCCTGGTTAAAGACTAGAACATTGCTACAAACTCAGAAACCACGTATGAGTCCCTTGCTTTCACATTCCTCTCCTGGAGTAGGACAGTGGCTACTCCAATATTTGTTGACCGAATGAACTAGAAAATGAATGAATGAAGGTACTGCTAATGGTAGAGGGAAATTCATGGCTTTCCCCAGAGCCTGGGGATGAGGCTTACCACAAGTGTAAACTTTCTTTGGCATATTTTAACCTTGACAGTTCTTTCAAATTTTTCATTTAAATTATACGTTCAGGTCCATAAAAGTAGTTACTATCATGTAGTTTAGGGGAACCCATTAGTTATGTCTTTTGGTGGAGAAAAAAAAAGACATCCATCTAAACAACTCTTCTATGAAGTGGCGCTTAGTGCATTTTTTTTCAGTCTTTTTACAAATGGGCCAATGGGGGGTTGGTGTTTAAGTAATCACCCATAACGTTGTAAATGGGAATTTCACCCCTAAAATGAAATACAGCCAATACCTTTCTCCTCTAACTATATAAAACTTTTGTAAGTTGGAGACAAGACTATAACCTTCTGGCTTGTGTGTTTATTCTTTCTCTTCTAATTAGTAAACATGGCCATTAGGTGGATCATGAATGAATATACTCTCAGAACCTTTTAGAAACATTCTGTATATTTTTCACTAAGCAGCCCTCTGTGTTGTCCAGATTTTTTTGCCATGTGATATTACCTATTAATTTTTTTTTAATTTTCAAAGAATCACTCAGTGTTTGATGATGTGCCTATGTATTCATTGACAAGGAAAGCAATTCAAGATATATTTTGAGATTAAAACACAATTCCATCTATACCTAAATATACACATTTAGATAGATGACGATTTTAAACAAAGTAACTAATGACTTCTCTGGAGACAATTTTTCTTTTTTGCTTCTATGTATTGTCTAAATTTTCTGCATTGGACATGCAGTTACTTATATAACAGTGAGAATCACTCAAAATGTTTTTCATTCTATGACATTCTATGTATTTGTTTACAAAATAACATTCCTTTTCCTCATATTAACCTTGCTATAGCTCAGTAGAAGCTCCCTTAGGGGCAGGAAAAGGAAAAAAAACTACAAATGCTAATGTTGACTTTAGTGACAGGTTTGGAGGAGGAGAATATTGAAAAGTCAATTATTTGGATAATCCAAGGCTTTCAGTTGTTTACACTCTCCTCTGCTACTAGTTCCACTCAGAATTGGAAGCTGAGCAAATGAAATTCGGCAGTGTGCAGTCTGTGCCTGCGGTTTAGATTTTTAGGTCTTCCTCCTAAAGGTGAGATTTCGTCTTTCAGGGAAATGCTTGAAAAATGTTTGCTGTCAAGTGATGTGACGGTAGTTTAGTAGCAGGCAGTTTGTTGCAATGGTTTGGGATTGAAGAGACCGCGTAGGTAAGTTCTTTTGCATGAGCTCTTCAACTCACTGGAGGATATACAATATATGAACAGGATTGTCCCACTCCTCTTTACCGGCTCCGGGATACTGCGGGCAACATTTTGAAATTATTGGATTAGCTACCAGCCTTTGGATAAAGACATCTCCTTCACCAAAGACTTAGGGAGAAATAGCATAAGGCACAGTTTTAATATTTTCATCTTTCCAAAATGGACCAAGAAATCTTTCTCTTGCCACTTCCTCTCGCCACAAAATTCAAATAAAGAGCGGTAAAACCCTTCTTCCGCTTTTCTCTTTGGGCGAGAGTTGACGGACGTAGGTTTCTACCAATTGTACGAGGCCTCCTCGAGCGTGGTCCCGCCTAGTCCGTTTACGAAGGATCAGCCAATGAGAGCACCGCTGTTTCAGCCAGTGGCGACCAAAGAAAGAAGAAGAGAGGGTATTGGCCGCCGACTGGGACTGCTGCCCAATAGGAGCAGGCCGAGGCCGCAACACACGCTGGCGGATTGAGCTGCACAACCGGAAGTGGTTGTTGGCGCCAGTCCGGCGAGAGTTCTTCGAAGGAGACTGCAGCTGCTCCGGGGGTCTCGTGAGTCTGGCCGCGTCCTTTCGGTTTCAGGTGAGGTGGGCGTTTGCCTCTTCCCAGACCTTGGGCGTCTGGCTCCGGGATGACTTCCCGGGCTGGGTCCATGGACGCTGGGTCCATGGACGCCGGGCCCCGGGACGCCCCAAGATGGGCTGCGGGCCGGCCTGGAACCCGGCTGTCTGAGGAAGTTCGGCCGCTCCGGACGGCCCCAACTGTCGGGGCTGAGTCTCCCGAATCCCCGCTCTTTTGGGGTTGCTGGTGAGGGTGGGGGCGGGGAAGGCAGGAACATCGGGGATCCCGGAAGGAGCCGACTTGGCCGCGGGGCCGGAGTCACAGGTACCCGGTTTGCTCTCCAGGCAGCCGAGCCTCAGACTCATCGTCTGCAAATAACTGCCGTCCCGTGGAGCGCCCTCTACTTGCATCACTTTCAAGTTGAACGAAAGACCTATTGTTCTGTCCAACTTTATCTCACAGCAACACTGTGACGTAGACACTTTTATTATCCCCATTTTACAGAGGAGCAAGTCGAATAGGGAACCTCCTAAGGTCCCAGAGGTAGGATGTGACAGAGCAGGGATTTGAACCCAGGTCGGCCCGACTCTCCGCCGGCGCCTCTTATTCTTTTAACTGGGAGCCATCGTCCCGACTGGAGCGGACATTGGTTGAAATCTGAGTGACAAAGCTTGGGAAGATTACGGGAGGTCTAGAACCAGGCTGCTCACGGCCTGGGGCCGGGGGGGGGGGGGGGGGGGGACGGAAGCCGACGCACCGCTGCTCAGCCCCAGGCCTGGAGGGATTTGTGTTTCCCCACGTTGATTGGGAAGCTTTGCTCCAGTATGGCGCTGGTTAGAGAACTTTCTGCCGGGATGAACATGTTCTATATCTCTTGTATCTCTGTGTCAATATCGGGTGCTAATATGTTCTTAGTTGTTGGGGGATTTTTGGTTGGTTTTGTGTTTTTAGGTGGATGGTGGGTAATTCAGTAGATATTTAGCATCTGCTCTGTACTTCTTGATGTGTAGGATACACCGATGAATCAGGTTTGGATTCGGCTCTGGGCCTTTCACGTCTCATCAGAACTGGTTGTTCTCTAATCAGAGCTGGCATATGATGGGAAGAAATTTCATTTTTTAATATTTAACCATACTGAGAAGTGCACAGAATAATTTTTAAAAGACCCGTGCATTCACCACCCAGGTCTAACAAATCTTGGCTTTGACTTTTTGATAGAATTCTTTTTTTTTTTTCCTTAAAAAAAAAAATTCTGTATTCAAAACCTCATGTGTACCTCTGCACCCTTCCTCTCCTGAATTTGGTATTTTTCATGACTGGGCTTGTTTTATACTATCTTATATCTATAAGTCCATATAGTAGTGTGGTTTTGCATATTTTATAAGTGTCCTAAAATTGGAATTAATAATGGAGGTTGTTCTGTAACTGATAAAATTTTTGAGGAAATTTACCATGTTGGGGTTCTTAGAAGAGAGTGTATGGTTACATCTTGACCAGAGGTTTTGCTTCACTTTCTTCTCCATTTTGAGTTCTCTCATTCTTGTACTTCAGTTAATCAAGTATTCTAGCTTGAGCTTTTAATATTATTATCTTTTAACTGTCTTTTGTTTTCTGAAAGAGTTACTCAGGTTTATTTTCCAGTCCTTCTATTAAAGCATTTATTTTGGCTGTAAATTTTCTTTTTTAAGAGCTCTTTCTTGTTTTCTGATTTGATCTTTTTTTCCTTGGCATTCTTTTAAGTTTGGATTTGTTTATTTATTTACTTACTTCTGTTTCTTGCATTGTATTCCTTGCTTTTCTCCGAGTTTCTGCTCTTTGTCTGCTTTGGTCTCTTTCTCTCATGTTGGAGGCTTTTCTTGAATGTCAGTTGTTCTTTGGCTATTTGTTCATTTTGAGGAGAGACCCCCAGAAAACTGATTGGAAGCCCTTTATGAATGACTGAACCTTACCAACCAATGGACTTTTACTGTTAGATGTATGGGCAGAGATCCAGCCATTTTCTTGAGAGTCAGAGCTGTCAGTATTTATAGATCTTTCCTCTTGAGCTGGTTTTCTCTAGGCAACAATCCTGTAATTTCCTGCCTTGAGGCATAGAGAATGTATGTAAACCAGAATATTGCGTTCTGGATTTGTGCAGCTGGGGAGAAGGGTTGGAAGTGTCTCACACTTGTGAAAGTTTGTAGACTTTCACTTAACTCTTTGTTTTCACTGCTGGTCTTAAGTCTGTCTGGTTCAAACCTCCAGTTGTCTGCAGCATAGGGGGAGGGGTTTTTTGATTGTTTGCCTGAGGGACAGAGTAACTACTTTCACAGGCTTTCCATCTCCGTCTTTCAATGCTATCTTCTTTGGCACATGGTTTTTACAGTCCCCTCAGTGGAAATTAGCTTGCTTCTCAACAGCACACAGTCCTACCAGTTATCAGTCCGAAAAACTGATTTGTGTGTCTCATACTCTCTTTGCCTTGTACTTGTGGATCCACTGCTTTCAGTAGTTCAGTCCTTATTTTATCGATCGATTTATTTATTTATTTATTTATTTATTTATTTATTTATTTATTTATTTATTTATGGCTGCGTTGAGTCTTCATTCCTGTGCGTGGGCTTTTCTCTAGCTGCAGCGAGCGGGGTCTACTCTTGGTGGTGGTGTGCGCGCTTCTCATCGTGGTGGCTTCTCTTGTTGCCGAGCACAGGCTCTAGGCACGCAAGCTTCAGTAGTTGCGGCATGTGAGCCCTAGAGTGCATGGGCTTCAGTAGTTGCAGCACACAGGCTTCAGTACTTGTGGCTTGCGGCCTCTAGAGCACAGAATCAGTAGTTGTGGCACATGGGCTTATTTGCTCTGCAGCATGTGGGATCTTCCTGGACCAGGGATCGAACCTGTGTCTCCTGCATTAGCAGGCGTATTCTTAACCACTGTGCCACCAGGGAAGTCCCTAGATCTATTTTAAAGGTTAGTACTGTGATCACATGACTTCATGTTTTCAAAAGGCAAACAGGAAAACTGGTTATAAGTACTTATTATGGGGGAAAAAAGTCGAACAAAATCATCTCTTTAAGTTTCTCAGTTTTGCCAAGAATGATCTTAAACAGAAATATTAAAGAACAGATATGATTAGATAAAACATGTCTTATAGCTGATATATTTTACTAATACTTACAAATATTGTTTCTTCAGTGATGGCTCATGAAGCAATGAAATATGATCTTCAGGTGCAGTTAGATCATGGTGCTGCACAACAGCCTGCTCCTCCTGAAGTGGTCAGCGGCCAAGGGGGACCACCCCTGCTCCAGCCTTCTCATACTGAGGTGGTCAGCAGCCAGGAAGGACCACCCCTGTTTGAGCCTACACCTGCTGCAGTGGTCAGCAGCCAAGGGGGACCAGCCCTGCTCCAGCCCCCTCCTGATGAAGTGGTCAGCAGCCAAGAGAGACTGCCCCGGCTTCAGGCTGCTCCACAGGTATCCATTGATATGACAGAGGAGCTCTCAGGAGAAGAGACTGTGGAGAACATCAATCCAGGAGTTTCAGAGGAGAGTAGGCAGGAATCTGGTGCTAACCACACTACCCAAGTATCTTCATTGGATCCAGTGAACAGCTTCATCAGTGGGCTGCAGAGACTTCATGGCATGCTGGAATTCCTGAGACCAACTTCGGACCACAGGGTGGGGCCAGTGAGAGCTAGGAGGAGGAGTTCTGCTTCACAGAGGGCAAGAGCTGGAGGGTCTCACAGGACAAACAGTGCCAGGTAAATATATGTATAAACAGTAGGATTAGTGCCAGATTGGGAATTATGAACCTTAGGCTGTGATCGTAGCCCCAGTGCTGCCAAGAATTGGCGTTGTGACTTGGCAAGTCAGGTGACCTTTCTGAACCCCCGTTACCTCATAAGTCAGATGAAAATAAAAGTGCTTGCCTTATTTACTTCACAAAGTAATGGAGGGGACAAGTTACACTGATATGTTTTGAAAACTCAGTGGTAGTTTGTTGGCAGCGGTTTCTGTAGAGGCTGGCTTTTCTTCAGATCGTTTGTCTCTTGTACATCAAAAAAATATTTAACTTGCAAGGCCACTCCACTCACCCATGTTTCATTGTTCTCCACTTAGTGGTGCAGTAGATTTTGGAAGATGGGCAGGCTGGATTTAGAGAAGCCTTGTGAAAAGTAGAGTGTGAATTAATTTAGAGCTTATCTGACTAAGTGAGAAACATTCTAGCCCTCTTCACCTGATACTGTGTTGTAGAGTTAAAAATAATTTTCTTCCATAGGTTTTGGTTTGAATTTGCCTCTTGAAGGGCTTAGCCGTCAGGTCTTGACAGAGTTGTTATGAAGAACAACAATTATCTATGCCTTACCTGTTTTTTCACTTCCTCCAGCTTTTTTTGAAATACTTTGTTTCACATTTGGGCTTCTAAGTATCTTCATAATGTTGAAATTGAATTCAACCTTTTCATTTTAAATATGAAGGAAACTCGGACCCTGAGAGAGTGGTTTGTTCAGGGTCTCATAGCGACAGCACTGAGGAGGTTAGAGCTGGTGTTGGAACTTGAATCTGACTGTTGTCAACAAAAACAGATAGAGGAAGCTTCAGTCAGACCCATTTGTTTTCTAACACTGTGAAAATAATGAGGTGACAATAAAAAGTGGTAGCTGGGCCATCTAATACCTATGTTTTACAAATGAGGAAGATGATGGGGTGATTTGTGATTTGACTGGGATAACTGTGGAACTGGACTGTGCCTTCTGATTCTGGATTTCAGCATCCTTTTCCATGGATCCTGCTGATTACTGTATCAGGGCCTGCTATTACTGTGGCTTCAGTCTCTGTAATGCCTGGTCACTGCTGGATGTGATCCATCAAGGGTGAGAGGTGCCTAGTTCTGTGTTGACAAGAGTTGCAAATGTATGCTACTCTGTTATTTTAAGATGCCGTTTACTCGGATTTTGAAAGCAAAGTAGGATTTCATACATTTGTGTCATAGGTGAAAGTACCTTGTAGTGCAATTTGGGGTCCCTGTTGAAGTAAGGGGGCTGAGAGTTGAGAGTGGTGTCCCCAAGAACTGTCAAGAGGCCTCTTGCAGTAGTCCTCACGCTTGGTTGTTCATCCACTCATGAGCAGGCGGGGGTGGAGATTGCTCTTGGTCAGGGACTTTTGTGTTACCCAGCTCACAGGAGAGTGACACTTATAAACCAGATGCCAATTTACAGAGAAAATTAGAAACACCACAGAGACCAAATTCTCTTGTTGGCATGGTCAGCATGATTCACCTAGGGGATGCTGCCACACTGAAGCCAGACTCTAATCAGAAAATAGCTTGATGTGCGTAGAATCTCTGCTCAGGGACTGAGCTACAGAATTTAGATGTTAAATGATGTCAGTTAAGCTATTTGACTGACGGTCATATGTTTGTCTCCACAAAGAGAATAAACCTTAAAGGCAAGGAATTATGCAGTTCAGTGGAGAGAACATGGATTCTGGAGCCAGATAAATGTGGCGTTAAAATTCTTTTTCCTTTAAATTGTGTTGTAAACAAATTCCACACTAAATTCACATAAAAGTCTGAGCTTTTCCAGGACATATTGCTTATACCTTCTGAATTTCTTGAGGTGAATTTCTCATTATGGTGTTTGACATTACTCACCCGACAGACCATTCCTGGGCCAGGTGCTGAGAGCCAAAATTGGGGAAACCTGCATAGTGGGATATTTTTCCCAACTACTTCTCAGCCAAGGTCACAAACTCCTTTCCTGTTTCTTTGTTTGAGGCTGCTTGATTCTGACAGCCAGCATCATCACTTATTCATCAAATATTTGTAACACTCCACTATGTGAGAGACTGAACTTTTGCCTTGAAGATACGTTGGTGAACAGGACAGATCAGGGTACCGTTTCTCTTGGAGCTTATGGAATCTAGGACTATAGAGGGTAAGCAAGGGGCAAGAACTTACTATACTGTTATTTAATTCAGAGATGATAAGTGCGGGAAAAAAGGAGAATTTCTTGGGTTCTAAGACTGTACTCCTAGCACTGCCTCCCAGTTGCTCTTCATAGTTCGTCTTTTATATGTCCCCGCCTGACCTTGGAAATGCCTCTTTTGCTATGTAAAAGCAATATTAATGAGTGGTTTTTTAAAAAATAGTCAATCACTTAATTTTTTACTGGTTTCTATGCAGAATGCTATTGATATGCACGTAATAGCCTAACTTTATTATGTATTTCATTTGGTTAAAATGTTCTTAGGAAATACTGTTCTTATATTCTTATTCTCATGAGTAGCTATAGCTGCTGTTCATGCACAGTTCCTAAAATAAGTTTGTAAACTTGGTTAGCATTTTTTTTTGAAAAGGAAACCTGAGTGACATCAGTGAAAACGGCAGAGTAAGGACCCCAGAAAATTCTCTCCATAAAATCATTGAAACAGGGCTTCCCTGGTGGCGCAGTGGTTGGGAGTCTGCCTGTCAATGCAGGGGACATGGATTCGAGCCCTGGTCTGGGAAGATCCCACATGCCATGGAGCAACTAAGCCCGTGTGCCAGCTACTGAGCCTGCACGTCTGGAGCCTGTGCTCCGCAACGGGAGAGGCCGCGACAGTGAGAGGCCCGCGCACCGCGATGAAGAGTGGCCCCCGCTCGCCGCAACTGGAGAAAGAAAGCCCTCACACAGAAACGAAGACCCGACACAGCCATAAATAAATAAATAAATTTATTTTTTAAAAAAATAATTGAAACAACTGGCAAAATTTATCAAAATCAACTTTTCAGTACTCTGGAAATTAACCAAATACTTGTAGCAATTCAGTGAGTGATTCTCAAACCAGCTGAATCTCAGTAAGAACTGTAAGCTTTGTGGCATTCCCTATTCCCATCCCCTTCTTCAGCTTCATAGTAGTCTTTTTTTAAAAAAAAAAATTTATTTATTTATTTGGCTGCGTTGGGTCTTAGTTGCAGCATGTGGGATCTTTCATTGTGGCACGCGGACTTCGTTGCCCCACGGCATGTGGGATCTTAGTTCCCCGACCAGGGAGCGAACCCATGCTCCCTGCATTAGAAGGCTGATTCTTAACCACTACTATCGAGGGACTTACTATGAAGTCCCTCCATAGTAGTCTTGAAAACTAAATGCCTGCAATCACAGTGAAAAGGCAGCAGTCTGGAAGCAACTAGAGAGAGTAGAATGGAATTGGAGGTCCTTCAAAGCCTCATCCCCAGAGAATTCTCTTCCTTTGACCTGTTTGTTGGTTTCCTGGAAGATCCCACTTGAAAGGCAATCCCTGGCTTGTCCAGTTCGAAAATTCTAAAGCCTTTTCCCCAGGGTCTGCCTGTGGCAGTGGATGACCACTGGGGCAAACATTAGACTAACCAAAAAGCTTAAAAGGAAAAGGTGGAGAATGAGATCTTCCTATGGGGTTTTGAAAAGTTCTGACATATTCCTGGGAATCTAGAAGGCCACATACATGCCCAGGGCTGTGTGCAGCTGGGCCCACAATCAGGAAAGACCTAGGAAGGCACTAAGCTCTCAACTCTGGCTGACTTTGAGGCTCTGCATAAGCAGGAAATGAAGGCTGAGGCAGAATTGTCACCTGCCTGGCTGATTATTGATGATGTGTCCCAACACACACATCAAGTCTCTCACCAAAGACTGGGAGGTGTACTGATTCCAAGTGTTTAAGGAAATCTCTGTCTAGTCATGAACTGAACACTAAGCTAACCAAACAGAAACTTCAGTGGCCACACACAACAAAGAATGCAAACTTTATAGAATTAACTTCAGAAAAGTCACTAAACCAATAGTAACAACTATAAGAAATAGCAACAACAACAAACCCTGGGAATGGGTGAAATCTCATTTCCAGAGTTACCACATTATATTATTTGAAACGTCCAGTTTTCAAGAAAAAATAAGATATGTAAAGAAAGTATAACCAAAACATAGGAAGAAAAAATAGAAACTGTACATGAAGAAGCCAAGATGTTGGACTTACTAGACCAACTTTAAATCTGCTATTTAAATATATTCAAAGAACTAAAGCAAAGTATAAAACAACAAAATAGACAATATCAATAAAGAGACTGAAGTTATAAAAATGTATAAAATAGAAATACTGGAGTTGACACAGTAAATGGAAAAAAATCACTAGAGAGCTCAACAGCAGGTTTGAGCAGGCAAAAGAGAGAACTTTTGTCCTTCTTTGACATTTTTGACTTGAAAAGTGGCTCAAAATAAGAGATGAGACAATGATGACCATAGCCAGGCTTCATACCTTCAAAAGACCTTGGTCTTAGTAGCTGCAGAAGCAGAATCCCGTGAGGCCATATTTGATCAATAGGGCCCTTTTAGGGCTTCCCTGGTGGCACAGTGGTTGAGAGTCCGCCTGCTGATGCAGGGGACAGGGGTTCGTGCCCTGGTCCGGGAGGATCCCATATGCCACGGATCGGCTGGGCCCGTGGGCCATGGCCGCTGGGCCTGTGCATCCTGAGCCTGTGCTCTGCAATGGGAGAGGCCACGGCAGTGAGAGGCTGGCGTACCGAAAAAAAAAATAGGGCCCTTTTTCATCTTGCCCACTCTCTTTTCAGCCCCCTAATATCAGCAGACAAATTGCTGAGTCAGCCCTCCCTCCCTCCCTCCCTTTCGTTATATTAATGAGTCATGTCTTTAAAAGGTATTGACAAAAGAAATGCCAGTAAAGTAGGATTAGCTTTTAGCAGAGGGGTCAGGCTTCAGTGTGGGCTAATGGAATACTTGAGTGGAAAGAGCATGTCTAGTCCAGTCAGCACCTGCCTGAATCTCTATTCCTACTTCAGCGTTCAAAGGCAGCATTTAATGGCCTGGTGATGCATTAAAATGACTAGGATTTACCTCCAAATTACTGTGGATTATTCTTGTGATGATGGTGCATTGTACAAGAATTCTGTTGTCTTTCTGCATATATAGGTTGAGATCACCGCTGGATGCTTACTTTCAAGTGAGCAGGACGCAGCCTCATTCGCCAGCCACCTCTTATGGTTCAGAGACTAGGAATCCTGTCTCTGAAGACTTGCAGGTATCAGGTAGTTCTGACAGTGACAGCTCCACAGAGTATGAAGAGGGAGTTGTCCAGGCAGAGGAACCTAGAGCTGTTGTTTTAGAAGGTGAGTGTTTTATCCAGATTTGATCCACAAGGTCAACATCTGGAAAGCTTAGACTCCAGAAGGCTAGAAACTCTAGACTAGTGTTTTAATACTTTGCCTTTTCACCCCAAATGTCATAGATTAATGCTTTATAGTACAGAGCTTTCACTGGCCATAACTATATAGAGAGGATTTGATCTGGCTTGCAATTTAATGTGATTTGTGACCCATTGAGTTGGTCACTTTATAATGGCATTTTACATTCCCTTTCGTTTTCTTAGACATTTGAGAAGGAAGTAGATTATTTAAAAGAAAAGCTTTGTAAATTCAGCACCCTGTCTAGTCCGGTACTTTTTAAGTCCTAGTGTAATGTTACGTGTTGTGCAAGTGGAAGTTTATTTAACAGTAGATGCGCAGAGACCCTTTAAGCATATGCTTGTATTAAAAAACTCTCTGGGGACTTCCCTGGTGGCACAGTGAATAAGAATCCGCCTGCCAATGCAGGGGACACGGATTCGATCCCTGGTCTGGGAGGATCCCACGTACTGCGGAGCAACTAAGCCCACGAGCCACAACTACTGAAGCTCACACGCCTAGAGCCCATGCTCCGCAACAAGAAAAGCCACCACAAGGAGAAGCCTGCGCACCACAATGAAGAGTAGCCCCCGGTCGCCACAACTAGAGAAAGCCCGTGCGCAGCAACAAAGACCCAACGCAGCCAAAAATAAATAAAATTAAATCTTTACCCAGAAAAAAAACAAAAACCAAAAAACCTATCTGATACCCTACACTGTGGTCTTCTCACACTAAAGGGGACCAAGGCTTGGAGAAATGGCTTTCCAGGTCTGTGATAGGAAATATACAAGATGGGCCTAGGGCATTTTATTGTGCTGGAAAGCAAGGAAGCCGTCTGAGTCTTACACAGTTACATCAGTAGGCACAGGTGCAACCCTGAAAGAGATCCTACTGGCCTAAGTTGGGACAGTTTGAGCATTAAAAAGAATAATGAATGTATTCTTAGATTACAGATTGAAATACATCAAATCTGTGTGAATCTATAAATTCATAATTGTGCACTTTTTAAAAAAAAAAAAAAACCTAACTTATCACCATAATAAGTTATTAGAGCCCTAACTCATTGCTCTGAAAACTGTTGAATAGAGGATTAAGCATTTATCCTGCCTTTCCTACGTGAACTGTATCCAGAAAACCAAATAGTTGATGGAGAAGGTCTTTTAAGTGTTTGTTTGTTTGTTTGTTTTTTGTTTTTGTTTTTGTTTTTCGATATGCGGGCCTCTCACTGTTGTGGCCTCTCCCGTTGCGGAGCACAGGCTCCGGACGCGCAGGCTCAGTGGCCATGGCTTATGGGCCCAGCCGCTCCGCGGCATGTGGGATCTTCCTGGACCGGGGCACGAACCTGTGTCCCCTGCATCGGCAGGTGGACTCTCAACCACTGCGCCACCAGGGAAGCCCTGTTTGTTTGTTTTTAAGACTTTTTTTTTTTTTAGAGTAGTTTATGGTTCACAACAAAGCTGAAAGGAAGCTAGAGAGATCTCCCATATGCACCTGCCCCCCTCCCTCCCCCACACATACATGCACTGCCTCTCCATTATTGGCATCATTCACCAGAATGGTGCGTTAGTTACACACTGTAATCACTCGAAGTCTTTGGTTTACCTTGGGGTTTACTGTTGGTGTTGCACATTCTATAAGTTTGGACAAATGTATAATGACATACATCCATCATTATAATATATACAGTATTTTCAGTGCCCTAAAGATTCTCTATGCTCTGCCTATTCTTCCCTTCCACCCACCCCCTAAGGAAGTTTTTTTTAATAGAAAAATTCCAGCTAGTAATTGTAGCATGAATGATAGGGGGGAAAATTATCATTTTGTGACTCCTAATGCATTGATGTATCTAGTCAAAGATCATCAGTGACTCTTCAAACCATTAGATTGGAAGGTTGGTGGGAGTCTTTTTAATAGAGGGACCAGGCTGACACCACCTGAACCCACTGATCAATCTTAGCATTTCAGAAAGTGAAACCACCAGATTTTATGTGCCTCTTGATGTGCTGCAATCAGAAATGTCCAGGGCTTCCCTGGTGGCGCAGTGGTTAACAATCCACCTGCCAGTGCAGGGGACACGGGTTCAATCCCTGGTCCGGGAAGATTCCACATGCCATGGAGCAACTAGACCCGTGAGCCACAGCTACTGAGCCTGCGCATCTGGAGCCTGTGCCCCGCAACAAGAGAGGCCACAATAGTGAAAGGCCCGCGCACCGTGATGAAGAGTGACCCTCGCACCACAATGAAGAGTGGCCCCCACTTGCCGCAACTAGAGAAAGCCCTCACACGAAACGAAGACCCAACACAGCCAAAAAAAAAAAGACATCATTAAAAGAGTGAGATGGCAACCCACTGACTAGAGAAAACATTCATAATACATATATCCAGAAAAGGGCTTATATCTAGAATACATAAATAACTTCTACAACCTTATAGAAAAATGGGCCGAAGATTTGCAAAGGTATTTCCAAAACAAGATAGCTAAATGTCCAATAAATATATACAGAGATTTGATTAGTCATCAGGGAAATACAGATTAAAACCACAGTGTGGTAACTGATGTGCACCCACCGCAACAGCTAAAATTTAAAAGACTGACAATATCAAGTATTGGGAAGGATATAAAGCAACCAGACCTCTCATAGAGTACTGGTGGGAGTGTAAATTTTTTTTTTTAATTCTGCTTGTAAGAGGTTCACTTTATTTATTTTTTTATTGAAGCATAGTTGATTTACAATGTTGTGTTAGTTTCTGCTGTACAGCAAAGAGATTCAGTTATACATATATATATGTATATTCTTTTTTTATATATTCTTTTCCATTATGGTTTATCATAGGATATTTATTTATCTATTTATTTATTTTTGGCTGTGTTGGGTCTTTGTTGCTGCACGTGGGCTTTCTCTTGTTGCGGTGCCTGGGCTTCTCGTTGCGGTGGCTTCTCGTTGCTGAGAATGGGCTCTAGGTGTGCGGGCTTCAGTAGTTGTGGCACGTGGGCTTAGTTGCTCCGTGGTATGTGGGATCCTTCCAGACCAGGGATTGAACCCATGTCCCCTGCATTGGTAGGCGGATCCTTAACCACTGCACCACCAGGGAGGTCCCTCTTCTGCCCTTTTTTTTTTCTTTGCATTTTTGAGTGTTTTATTTATATCAAATTGGATAAAATGTGTGTATTTCTCAGACAGAAAAGACATGTCGAGGTAGAAACGTACCTTTCAACTATTCATGGGTACACAAGTACACTGGGGAGATTGTAAAAGTGCAGATTGTGATTCACCGGACTGTGATTCAGTCCGGTAGGCCTGAGTTCTATTTTTTTGGGGGGGGGGGGGTTTGAGTAATTTTTATTTAAAATTTTTATTTCCTTGTATCTTTTTTTTTACTTATTTATTAGAGTATAATTGCTTTACAGTGGTGTGTTAGTTTCTGCTTTATAACAAAGTGAATCAGTTATACATATACATATGTTCCCATATCTCTTCCCTCTTGTGTCTCCCTCCCTCCCACCCTCCCTATCCCACCCCTCCAGGCGGTCACAAAGCACCGAGCTGATCTCCCTGTGCTATGTGGCTGCTTCCCACTAGCTATCTACCTTACATTTGGTAGTGTTTATATGTCCATGCCTCTCTCTCGCTTTGTCACAGCTTACCCTTCCCCCTCCCCATATCCTCAAGTCCATTCTCTAGTAGGTCTGTGTCTTTATTCCTGTCTTACCCCTAGGTTCTTCGTGACATTTTTTTTTCCCCTTAAATTCCATATATATGTGTTAGCATACGGTATTTGTCTTTCTCTTTCTGACTTACTCTGCCCATTTTTTGATTGGGTTGTTTTTTTGTTGTTGAGTTGTATGAGCTGTTTGTATATTTTGGAAATTAAGCCCATGTCAGTCGCATCTTTTGCAGATATTTTCTCCCATTCTGTAGGTTGTCTTTTCATTTTGCTTATGGTTTCCTTTGCTGTACAAAAGCTTGTAAGTTTGATTAGGTCCCATTTATTTAGTTTTGTTTTTATTTCTATTGCTTTGGGAGACTGACCTAAGAAAACATTGGTATGATTTGTTTTGCCTATGATCTCTTCTTAGGAGTTTTATGGTGTCATGTTTTATCTTTAAGTCTTTTGAATTTATTTTAGTGTATGGTGAGAAGGTGTGTTCTAACTTCATTTATTTACATATGGCTGTCCAACTTTCCCAACACCACTTGCTAAAGAGACTGTCTTTTTCCCATTGTATATTCTTGCCTCCTTTGTTGAAGATTAATTGACTGTAGGTGTGTGGGTTTATTTGTGGGCTCTATTTTCTGTTCCATTGATCCATATGTCTGTTTTTGTGCCAATACCATGCTGTTTTGATTACTGTAGCTTTGTGGTATTGTCTGAAGTCTGGGAGGGTTATGCCTCCTGCTTCATTCTTTTTTTTCAGGATTGCTTTGGCAATTCTGGGTCTTTTATGGTTCCATATAAATTTTAGGATTATTTGTTCTAGTGCTGTGAAAAATGTCATGGGTAATTTGATAGGGATTGCATTAAATCTGTAGGCTGCTTTGGGTAGTATGGCCATTTTAGCAGTATTAATTCTTCCAGTCCAAGAGCATGGGATATCTTTCCATTTCTTTGAATCATCTTCAGTTTCCTTTATTAATGTTTTATAGTTCTCAGTGAATAAGTCTTTTTCCTCCTTAGTCAGGTTTATTTCTAAATATTTTATTTTGGGGGGTGTGATTTTTTTCTTTCTTCTTTTTGGCCACACAGCATGCGGGATCTTAGTTCCCTGACCGGGGATTGAACTCATGCCCCATGCAGTGGAAGTGCGGAGTCTTAACCATTGGACTGCCAGGGAAGTCCCTTGCGGGTGTGATTTTTAAAAGGTATTGTATTTTTACATCCCCTTTCTGATACTTCATTGTTAGTGTAAAATGCAACTGATTTCTGTATGTTAATCTTGTATCCTGCTACCTTGCTGAATTCCTTTATCAGTTCTAGTAGTTTTTGTGTGGAGTCCTTAAGATTTTATATATATAGTATCATATTATGTGCATATAATGACAGTTTTACCTCTTCCCTTCCAATTTGGATACCTTTTATTTCTTTTTCTTGTCTGATTGCTGTGGCTAGGACTTCCAGTACTATGTTGAATAGAAGTGGTGAGAGTGGGCATCCTTGTCTTGTTCCAGATTTTAGCAGGAATGCTTTCAGCTTTTCACCATTGAGTATTATATTGTCTGTGAGTTTGTCATAAACAGACATGTTTATGACAAAAAACATGTTCTTGTTTTTTGAGGAAGGCATGTATCGCTTGAACTTCTCTGTAAGAACTGCTTTTGCTGCATCCCATAGATTTTGTATGGTTGTGTTTTCATTGTCATTTGTCTCAAGGTATTTTTTAATTTCCTGTTTGATTTCATCATTGACCCATTGGTTTTTTAGTAGCATGTTGTTTAGTTTCCATGCAATCGTTTTTTTCTCATTTCTTTTTCTGTGGTTGATTTCTAGTTTCATGCTGTCGTGGTCACAAAAGATGCTTGAGATAATTTCTAAAAATATCAATTAAGTCTAACAGTTCCGTTGTATCATTTAGGATCTCTGTTTGCTGTATTGATTTTCAGTCTAGAAGATCCGTCCATTGATGTGAGTGGGGTGTTAAAGTCTCCTACTATTATTGTATTCCTGTCAGTCTCTCCCTTTATGTCTGTTAATTGTGTTTTATGTATTTTGATGCTTCTATATTAGGTGCATATATGTTGATGAGTTAAAATCCTCTTCTTGTGTTGATCCTTTTATCATTATATAGTGTCCTTTATCTTTCCTTATGGCCTTTTTCTTAAAGTCTATTTTGATATGAGTATTGCAACCCCCACTTTCTTATCATTTCTGTTAGCACCATATATCTTTTTCCATCCCCTCACTTTCAATCTGTATGTGTGCTTTGCCCTAAAGTGGGTCTCTTGTAGGCAGCATATTGTAGGCTTTTGTTGTTTCTATCCAGTCTGCCACTCTGTGTCTTTTGATTGGAGCATTTAGTCCATTGACATTTAAAGTAATTTTTTTTAAAAGAAATATACGATTTATTTATTTGTTTGTTTATTTATTTATTTTGCGGTACACGGGCCTCTCACTGCTGTGGCCTCTCCCGTTGCGGAGCACAGGCTCCGACGCGCAGGCCCAGCGGCCATGGCTCACGGGCCCAGCCGCTCCGCGGCACATGGGATCCTCCCGGACCGGGGCACGAACCCGTGTCCCCTGCATCGGCAGGCGGACCCTCAACCACTGCGCCACCAGGGAAGCCCCCTATTTATTTATTTTTTAATGTTACAGTTTCTTTATTATTTTCTCAATTTTTTTAATTAAAAAAATGTATCATTATTATTATTATATTTTTGGCTGTGTTGGGTCTTCATTGCTGTGCACGGGCTTTCTCTAGTTGCAGCAAGCGGGGACTACTCTTTGTTGCCATGCACAGGCTTCTCCTTGCAGTGGCTTCTCTTGTGGAGCATGGGCTCTAGATGCGCAGGCTTCAGTAGTTGCAGCACATGTGCTCAGTAGTTGTGGCACATGGGCTTAGTTGCTCTGTGGCATGTGGGAGCTTTCTAGACCAGGGATCAAACCCATGTCCCCTGTGTTGGCAGGCGGATTCTTAACTACTGCACCATCAGGGGAGTCCTTAAGGTAATTATTGATAGATATGTATTTAGTGCCATTTTAAACCTTGTTTTCCCATTGATTTTATATTTCTTCTTTTTCCCTTTTTTTCTTTTTGTTTTTCCTTTTGTGGTTTGATTCTTCTTATTATTAGTTTTTATTGGAGTATAGCTGATTTACAATGTTGTGTTAGTTTCTGCTGTACAGCAAAGTCAATCAGTTATACATATATATATATCCACTCTTTTTTAGATTCTGTTCCCATATAGGTCATTAGAGTATTGAGTAGAGTACCCTGTGCTATGCGGTAGGTTCTTATTAGTTATCTATTTTATATATAGTAGTGTGTATTTGTCAATCCCAGTCTCCCAATTTATCCCTTCCCCCGATTATCTTTTGTATTATACTTATGTTCTCTTCTTTTTGGTTTTTGTGTATGTTTTTAATTTGTGGTTACCCTGTTTTTCAAGTATAGTAACCCTTTCCTATATCTGCTTGCCTTAGACTGGTAGTCATATGGGCTCAAATACATTTAAGGAAATTTTTTTTTTTAATCTACATTTTCTTACTCTCCTCCCCCACATTTTATGATTTTGATGTCCTCTTTTATATCAAAATGTAAATTGGTATAAACATTTTGCTAGTATTGTTATACACTCACTATATATATATAGAACCAGTGGCTCAACAATTTCACTTTTAGGTATATAGCCAAGGAAGTGAGTACATGTGTTCATGAACGACATGTATAAGAATGTAATAACACTGTTTGTAATAGGAAAAAACTGAAAACTATCCACAAACCCATTAGCAGTAGAATGGATAAATAAATGTTATATTTTTACGCAGTAAAACACAGAAGTGAAAATGAACTACAACTCCACACATTAGTATGGAAAAACCTTGCAAAGAATGTCAAACAGAAGTAGCAGAAAGTGGGTAACTCAGATGCCATTTATATACAAAAACAGGCAAAACCAGTTGATGGTGTTAAAATTTAGTAAAGTAGTTACTTTTGGGGGGCAAGGTCACCTCCCTGCCTGTCACCCAAGGTAAAAGGAGGACATAAGGGTATAAGGGCCACTCTTAGGGTTGTTGGTGATGTTCTGGTTTATAGTTCAGTTTGTGAAAATTCACTAAAAATATTTATGGTACACTTTTCTGTATGCATATTACATTTCAATAAAAGATTTTTTTTTAAAGAGCCAATTTGAAGGGATTCTTTCTGGCTTACGATGGAACAATTTGAGCCTCAAAAAGAAAAATAACTAAAAATTAAGATTACTATCTTGACCATTAATGGAAGCTGTGAAAGGTTGTTGAGGAACCAGATAGTCTAGGGGTCAGACTGACATCACCTGAACCCAGTATAAGCCTCCTGGTGTACTGCTATCAGAAGCACAAAACCTAAGTTTCTTGCTGCCCTTCCTCTTTCCAAAAAACAGAATTCAATCTACAAAATCATCTAGGTCTAACGGCCAGTTTATAGGAAAGGCAGGCAGTGAAGCAGTAAGTAAGGAATACCACGGGAAGCAATCAGCCAAATCCAGGATGTAGGACATTTCATAAGACAAATGACCAAATCTCCCTCAACAAATCAGTGACAAGGAGGAGATAGAAATAAGTGAAGGAGAATTGTTATAAATGAAAAAGACTTAAGAGACATAACAATCCAAGCTCACTGTTTGAAGATCTTGTTTGGATCCTGATTGGAATAAATCTATTGTAAAGAGCAACTGTAAAGCAATTGGGAGGGACTTCCCTGGTGGTCCAGTGGTTAAGACTCTACGCGGGGCATGGGTTTGTTCCCTGGTTGGGGAAGATCCTGCATGCCTCACTATGTGGCCACAAAACAACAACTGGGAAATTTTGAGTACAAACTGGGTGCCTGGGATGTTATTGAAGGATTATTGTTAACTTTGTTAGATATAGTATTGTTAATTTTGTTAGGTATAGTGTTTATGTAAAAAAAAAAAGTCCTTATCAGTGAGTGTTACAAAAGTTTTTACAAGTGAAACCACATTTTAGGGTTTGTTATTAGGAAAGAAAATAAAGGGAATGGGGGCTTATTTGGAACAATATTGGAAAAATATTATTTTTGAAATTGGGTGATGGGTACTTGTGGGTTAGTTTACTATTCTGTCTACATTTAAAAATTAATTCATTGGGACTTCCTTGGCGGTCCAGTGGTGGGGACTCCATGCTTCCACTGCAGGAGGCTTGGGTTCAGTCCGCAGTCAGGAAACTAAGATCCCACGTGCTGCACAGCGGAAAAAAAAAGGATTCATTGATGCTACTTGGGGAAATTGTCATTCCTTTTACATCAACAGTATCAATTAGAAATGGAAAGCTGTGGTGAGTCAGGCACTCCTGCTAGCCTCATACCTGACTTATATCTTCTTTTATATATTACCTATCCCATCATTTCTGGAAACGACTTGGCAGAGCAAGTAGGAGGTAACGACTTGGCAGAGCAACTCGGAGATATCTCAACAGAGCAAAAAGTTACATGTATTGGTGGAGGAGAGACTCTCCCCAAACAGGTAATATGAACATCCTTTTAAATGAGAGGTTTCTATTTACATTTAAAAAGGCAGCTGCAGATTAAAGTGGAAAACCCACAGACTTTGTAGGCAGGGGGTCCAGGTGTAGATCCTATACAAGTTACTCATTATTTGTGTGACTGCCTCCCCTTAGGTTTAAAAACATGGAGTAGGGGAAGATGTGAGGAGAACTTGTCCTGTCCACCTAAGAAGGTTAAGTATCAGTTTAAGTAGTAGATATGAATGCAGTTTATGAACTGCCTGGCAGAAAGATTGCTATGAGATAAACAGTTTTTATTTTTAAAAATTACAGATATCACTGTCCTCAGTATGAGACTTATTTATACCAACTGTGGACCCTGCCAGTTCCAAAACATCATTGATTCACTTTTTGCAAGTTTCTATTTTTATTCATTCTCTCTAGAAAAGTTACTCTCATATAAATTTACTTATGTGTATAAATGTTGTTTCTTTATTTATTGAAATATAGTTGATGTACAGTATTATGTTAGTTTCAAGTGTACTGCAAAGTGACTTGACATTTGCATACATTATGAAGTGATCACCACAATAAGTTTAGTAACCATCTATCCCCATATAAAGTTATTACAATATTATTGACCACATTTTTCATGCTATGTATTACATCCCCATGGTTTATTATTTTATAACTGGAGGTTAGTACCTCTTAATCCCGTTCACCTATTTTGCCATAGCCCACTCCCCTTCCCTCTGGCACTCACCCATTTATTCTCTGTGTCTCTTAGTCTGGGTTTTTTTGTTTTGTTTTATTTTTCAGATTCCACATGTAAGTGAGATTATATGCTATTTGTCCACACTCCATACTGTTTCCTATAGTGGGTGCACCAATTTACATTCCCACCAACAGTGCATGAGTGTTCCTTTTCTCCACATCCTCACCAATGCTTGTTATTTGTTGTCTTTTTGATGATAGCCATTCTGATGGATATAAGGTGGTATCTCTTTGTGGTTTTAATTTGCATTTCCCTTATAATTAGTCATGCTGAGCATCTTTTCTTTTTATGTGTCTGTTGGCTGTTTCTTTGGGAAAATGTCTGTTCGTGTCTTTTGCCCTTTTTTTTTTTTTTTTTTTTTTTTGCGGTATGCGGGCCTCTCACTGTTGTGGCCTCTCCCGTTGCCGAGCACAGGCTCCAGACGCGCAGGCCCAGGGGCCATGGCTCACGGGCCCAGCTGCTCCGTGGCATGTGGGATCTTCCCGGACCGGGGAATGAACCCGTGTCCCCTGCATTGGCAGGCGGACTCTCAACCACTGCACCACCAGGGAAGCCCCTTTTGCCCATTTTTAATCAGGTGGTTTTTTTGCTGTTGAGTTGTATGAGCTCTTTGTTTATTTTGGATATTATCAGATATATCTTTTGTTAATACCTTCTCCAATTCGGTAGGCTGCCTGTTCATTTTGTTGATAGTTTCCTTTGCTGTGCAAAAACTTTAGTTTGACGTAGTCCTGTTTGTTTATTTTCGCTTGCTTCCCTTGCCTGAGGAGACATATTCAAAAAAAATACTGCTAGGACTGATGTCAAAGAGCCTATTGCCTATGTTTTCTTCTAGAAGTTTTATGGTTTCAGGTCTTATATTTAAATCTTCAGTCCATTTTGAGGTTACTTTTGTATATGATGTGAGAAAGTAGTCCAGTTTGATTTTTTTGCATGTAGTTGTCCAGATTTCCCAACACCATTTATTGAAGAGGCTGTCTTTTCCCCATTGTCTATTCTTGCCTCCTTTGTTCGTAAATTAATTGCCCATATAAGTGTGGCTTTATTTCTGGGCTCTCTGTTCTGTTCCATTGATCTATATGTCCGCTTATGTGATAGTACCATACTGTTTTGATTACTGTAGTTTTGTAGTATAGTTTGAAATCAGGGAGTGTAATGTTTCCAACTTTGTTCCTCTTTCTTGAGATTGCTTTGGCTATTTGGAGTTTTGTGTTTCCATACAAATTTTAGAATTGTTTATTCTAGTTCTGTGAAAAATGTTATTCATATTTTGACAGGGATTGCATTGAATCTATAGATTACCTGGCAGGGATATGATTATTTTAACAGTGTTAATTTTTCTAATCCATGAGCATAGTATATCTTTCCATTTGTTTGTGTTGTCTTCAGTTTCTTTCATCAGTGTCTTATAATTTTCAGAGTACAGGTCTTTTACCTCTTCAGTTAGATTTATTTCTAAGTATTTTGTTCTTTTTGATGTAGTTCACAAATGGGATTATTTTCTTAATTTCTCTTTCTGATAGTTCATTTTTAGTGTGTAGAAATGCAACAGATTTCTGTAGATGAATTTTGTATCCTTCAACTTTACTGAATTCACTTAAATGTTCTATCTTAAAATTCACACAAGAGGGATTATATAATATCCTGTTCTTGGACTTGTTCCTTTTCCCCCAACTTACTGCATTTTGGAGAGCCTTTTAGTGTCAGTACATAAAATTGAATCTCATTCTTATTGGTAGTAATAGCTGCACAGTGTTTTTACATAGGAATACATTTTTAGTTAACTCTTCCCTTGCCATGTACATTATGGTTGTTCCCTTTTTCTTTATTTCTTTGTTGTTGCTGTTGCTTCCTAATAAGATCATGCTGCACTGAGCATCTTTGTACTATTGTCTTGGCAAATATTTGTGATTATATTCATGGGATATATTTCTAGCAGAAAGATTGCTATATCAAAGGAAAGATGTATGTATTTTTAGTTTTGATAGATAATGCCAAGTTGCCCTCAGGAAAATTTGTGCCAGTTTTACTTGCAGCAACAGTATGTAAGTATGCCCATTTCTCCCTCACCCTCAGTGCTTGGTGTCATCAGACATCTATTAGATGAAAAAGTAAAAATGTGGTCTCTTACTTGAATTTTCATTTCTTTATAAGTGAACACTTACCGACCATTTGTGTTTTTGTGTGAGTTGTTTATATCCTTTCTTTTTTTCCTGGTATTTATTTTTCTTTATTCACATGAGCCAGGTATTTTATAGCTACTTGAATTGATTATGGACCTAATTTCCAATGTATAACAAACTTAATATTCCCTGTTGTTATTTAACTGGGTCACTTCTAGATTTGTTTTGTTTTAATATCTTCGTAAATATAGCTCCTTTTTGTCATTTGAATGAAAGAAAATCAAGAATTTTATAGGCTCAAAGGGTAATAATATTTTCATGGCCTATATTACCTTTGACCAGATTGCATTCTGGAAAGGATGGGAAGTGATTCATGGGTGTTGGGGTTTTTCTTTGGCATTTTCAATTGTGTTTGTATCATTTTTGTGTATCTTTTGTTAATTTGATAGAGTTTCACATCTTCAAGACTGATTTTGCATCTTCTCTAATTTGAATGTATTCTGGTTTCCATCTAGCAGTCTCCCCAGAAGTCTGATCCTCTTCTAGCTTCTGCTTCTGTGGATGAGGAAGAAGCGGACACTTGCACAATATGTTTGGAACAGTGGACCAATGCTGGGGATCACCGGCTCTCGGCATTGCGCTGTGGGCACCTCTTTGGGTATAAGTGCATTTCTAAGTGGCTCAAAGGACAGGCACGAAAATGTCCTCAGGTAAAGACCATAGTTAAGAACTGTGCATGTGCACAGTCAACATGTTAAGTCAGGAGGATTCCTAGAACCACACTTATTGTGTCCCATTGGGCTCCTTAGTGCAACAAGAAAGCCAAGCACAGTGACATCGTTGTCCTTTATGCCAGAACCCTGAGAGCTTTGGACACTAGTGAACAGGAGCTCACAAAAAGGTAGGTGGCAAGAGTCTGCCTAGCTGGAATATTCGCTTTTGGTTCTTTGTATGCACCTCTGAAAAGGTATGAGTCACTCTTAGTGTGGTTCTGAGGCTTTCCTTGGGCTGTGACTGGGGATCTCTGGGGATCATTGGCAATCTGTCTAACACTGTGATTTATGATACATGTCTGATCATCTGAAGCATGGTTTGCTCTCCATATAGCATTAAAAATGATGATCTGGGGCTTCCCTGGTGGCACAGTGGTTAGAAACCCGCCTGCCAGTGCGGGGGACACGGGTTTGAGCCCAGGTCCGGGAAGATCCCACATGCCATGGAGCAACTGGGCCCATGAGCCACAACTACTGAGCCTGCGCTCTAGAGCCCACGAGCCACAACTACTGAAGCCCGCGTGCCTAGAGCCCATGTTCTGCAACAGGAGAAGCCACCACAATGAGAGGCCCACGTGCCGCAAGGAAGAGTAGCCCCTGCTCACCACAGCTAGAGAAAGCCCACGCACAGCAACCGACCCAATGCAACCAAAAATAAATAATGAATGAATTAAAAAAATAAAAAGGTCATAGAGAAACCTTTAGCCATACAGTAATACCTCACACCTAGGCTGGGAAGCAGACCCAATCAGAAAGATAGCCTGGATTTTTTGTAGCCTGTCCAGATTCTTCCCTAGGGATTCATTTACTGCCTGCCTCTGCTGCTAAACACTGTGAACACTGAATCAGGGAATCCTCTGTCTTACTCTTTGTAGCCAATTCATGGCCATCTAGAACACACTCCCAAGTCTCAATCTCCTTGTCACTAGAATAGACTTAATGATACTTTTTAAAAACTGAGAATTTTTGTTTCTTGTGTCCCTAAGCCCTCCTGCAACAGTACTCTGCAAAGAAGTCTCACAAATGAGGCTTTGCACTTGTCGTACAATGCAAGAAATTATCAAGATTTTGGAAGCCCATGAACAAATGCTAATAACACTACTTATAAAATATGCTCTAAGAACATTAAAGATTAAAAATACCTGCACTGGACTTCCCTAGCGGTCCTGTGGTTAACACTGCACGCTTCCACTGCAAGGGGCACAGGTTCAATTCCTGGTCAGGGAACTAAGATCCCACATGCCTCGCAGCACAGCCAAAAAAAATAAAAAGAACCTGCACTGAGAGAGTACAGGGATGTGGGTTCGCTCATGTATTACTGGTAAAAATGTACACGGGCACAAACATTTAGAGAGGCCTTTGGCAATATGCTTCAGAAGTCTAAAAGTAATTCTGCTTCAGGCATTTTTTCTAAAGAAATGATTAAGGATATGTGCAAAGACTTGATTTTTGGTTAATACTCTGAGGCACATATCCTAGTTGATATATGTAGCTCTAGTTGATTCATTTTAATTTCTATATAATATTCTATTTCTCTAATTAGAGTTTACTTATATGTATTTTGTATTGGTGGACAGTTAGGTGGTTTCCAGTTTTTGTTAATATAAGCCATGCTGCAGAGAGATAGGTGAGTTTCTTTAGGTCTAGAAGTGGATTTGCTTTATCATAGGGTACGTGTAATTTCAACTTTACTAGATATTGTCAAATTGCTCTTCCAAGAGGCTATTCCAGTATATACCAGCAGCAGTGTAAGAGATTTCTCATTTTTTTTCATACCCTCACCTACTTTATATTATCAGACTTAATTTTTGCCAGTTTCATGGAGTGAAGTAGTATTTACTTTGATTTGCTTTTCCTCAATTGCGGTTGAACCTACTTTTCTATACATTGTGCTCAAATATTTTGCTCATTTATATTGAACAAAATATAGTGTTTCTTACTGATTTATAGTTCTTTGTTTTCCTTATACCAACTCTTTGTTGGTTGTATACCTTGCAAATGTCATCTTCTAGTTTATGGTTTGTCTCTTTAACTTGTCTATTGTATCTTTTGTTGAACACAAGTTTTTAATTTTAGTGTAGTCATTTATCAGTCTCTCGTTTTGTGTGTTTTTGTCCCTACTACATTACAATCATGGAGACATAATATCTTCTTTTAAATGTTTTTTTTTTTTTTTAAATAAATTTTTTCTTTTGGCTGCATTGGGTCTTTGTTGCTGCGTGTGGGCTTTCTGTAGTTGTGGCACGCGAGGGCTACTCTTTGATCCGGTGCACGGGCTTCTCATTGTGGCGCCTTATCTTGTTGAGCATGGGCTCTAGGTGAATGGGCTCAGTAGTTGTGGCGCATGGGCTTAGTTGCTCTGTGGCATGTGGGATCTTCCTGGACCAGGGCTTGAACCCATGTCCCCTGCACTGGCAGGCAGATTCTTAACCACTGTGCCACCAGGGAAGCCCCTTTTAAATGTCTTTAAAAGCTTTAGTTTTTACACTAGTTTTTAGTCTACCTAAAATCTAGTTTTATGGATGACCACAATTGTATTAATTGTTAAAATTAATAATTTAAAAACTAATAAATAATTTTAAATTAATAAATAAAAATTTATATAGAAATGTTCTTTCTATATAAATTTCCATTGCTACCTCTATCCTAAATTAAGTTTCTATATTATGAATGGACTACTCTGTTGTTCCGGGGTCTGTTTGTTAATTCTTGCACCAGTACTTCAATTTAGTCTTTCCAGCTGTGAATATTATATAATATCCTTTCACTTATTCCCTGTTTCATTTGTGTCTTTTATAACTGTGTTTTGCTTCTTAAAGCCTTTAACTTTATTCCTAGGTTGCTGTTGTTAGAACGCTATTTCGCATGAATTTTTTTCTGTTATATTTACTAGTCAGTTATCTGGTATATGGGGAATGCTGTTGATCTAATTTCTTGATCTTGACTACAGCAGCCTTGCTGAACTCTAATAGTTTGTGGGTTCTCTTGAATTATAAGAGCCACTTTATCCCTTCCTTTCTAATTTTCATCTTTTTTTCTCTCCTGTCTCATTGGAGTGGAAATTTCTTTTTTTGCATTTCATATTTTGAAACATTCAGATTTATGATTTTTATTCCTGGTGAATGTGTCCTTTCATTACACATTGTTCCTCTTTATGCCTATTCATCCTTTTTAATTCTAATCAGTCTTTTTTTTAACATTCGCCTAGTGTATACTTTCTATCTTTTTAACTTAAGCCTCTTTTTAAATTTTATTTATTTATTTATTTTTGGCTGCATTGGGTCTTCATTGCTGCACACGGGCTTTCTCTAGTGGGGGCTACTCTTTGTTGTGGTGTGCGGGCTTCTCACTGCGGTGGCTTCTCTTGTTGTGGAGCGCAGGCTTCAGTAGTTGTGGCATGCGGGCTCTAGAGTGCAGGCTCAGTAGTTGTGGCACATGGGCTTAGTTGCTCCGTGGCATGTGGGATCTTCCCAGACCAGGGCTCGAACCCATGTCCCCTGCACTGGCAGACAGATTCCTAACCACTGTGCCACCAGGGAAGTCCAGCCTCTTTTTATAGTGTTCTTTAATTTGAATATCTGATGAACAACCAGTACCTTATTTTCTTTTTATCCAGTAGATAACCTTGGTCTTTTAACAGGTCATTTTTACTCTTTTATAATTTGGCTCTAACTCAAGCAGTGAGCTTGGCTGTAATCCCTCATTTTGCATTTTAGGTCCCCATTCCCTAGTAAGAGCCAGATTCCTGGTCATCACTGCCTACTTCAACACTGAGACCCACCCCAGTAGGCTCATGAGTTCAGCCCTGCATGCTACTTTCCTATAGTGTTTCTGGGTAGTGTTTCTGGGCTTGAGAGATTTTGCACTTGTTATATTTTATTCACTATCGTGACATATTTACAGCAAAGTGTATATCATAGCGTGAATTTACTATGTCATCTTGATGCGAAGTCTTCTGTAGCCTTTCTAATCTCCACCTGTTGCTGGCTTTCCCCCTCTAGTTCCTTAGAAGAGGAGAAGATGCTAAGGAAGAAGGCTGAGTTAGAATCGGCACAGTGCCGGCTCCAGCTTCAAGTCCTCACTGAGGAATGCACTAAGCTTCACAGTCATGTTCAGGTAAGTTTGCCTTCTCTAATCCAAAGAACTTTTGGAGTAGGAATTAAGAAGGCATCTAAATATTATTTAGTTTCATCTCAGATACGAATAGGATTTACCAGGTTTTTCAGGAAGTAAACATGATCAACTCTTTATTTCTGATTAGGGCTTATATACATGCTTTATGATGAATTCTACTGCAGTGTGAATTATTTAAAAATTGAACAGCCACCTGATAATCAAAACTTGTTTAAGTCATTTCACTTCCTTGAATCTACCAATTAAATGAGAATTTCAGACAAAATGACCATTAAGGACTTTCAGTGCTTTATGATTCCATGCTCTCCCTATTTCAATTGCTTGTTGAAATATTGTGAAAACTACAGCAGTTCTTTAGGATTCATGTTAACATTTTCTCGTAAAGGATAAGAAATATCCTTGTATTAGATCAAGGAATTGTGTATGAGGGGAATACCAAACGAAAAAGCTTCACATTTACAAAATCTTTTTCGTTTTAGGACTTGAAAAAACTTATTGTGCAGCATCAGAGTGAGATTTCACAGCTGACTGGGAGTTCCCAAGCACGTTTCCTAAGCAGCCTGTCCTCCAGCCAGAGCCAACACAAGTACCATTTCCAGAAGACATTCACAGTGTCTCAAACAGGAAACTGCCGAGTCATGACATACTCTGATGCTCTGAGCTGCCTGGTAGTATCACAGCCTTCTCCTCAGGCCTCCTTCCTTCCAGGTGAATAGTCCAGAACCTCAGGTGGTTTTGTTTTTGTTTTGTTTTGTTTTAAGGAACATTTATTTATTTATTTTTTGGCTGCGTTGGGTCTTCGTCGCTGCACGTGGGCTTTCTCTAGTTGCGGCGAGAGGGGGTTACTCTTCATCGTGGTGCATGGGCTTAAGAGATGCAGTGGCTTCTCTTGCTGCAGAGCACGGGCTCTAGGCACGCAGGCTTCAGTACTTGTAGCTTGTGGGCTTTAGAGTGCAGGCTCAGTAGTTGTGGCACACAGGCTTAGTTGCTCCGTGGCATGTGGGATCTTCACGGACCAGGGTTCAAACCCGTGTTGCCTGCGCTGGCAGGCGGATTCTTAACCACTGCACCACCAGGGAAGTCCCCAGAACCTGTTTTTATGTTCATTTTTGGACTCTATTTCTCTCCTCCCTTCTTGAAGAATCCAGGACTCACTAGTAGGTGAACACTGTCCACAGCCCACCAAATCACTTTTTCCTAGTCACTTCCCTGTTAATACAGATACTTTAGGGTACTGCAAAGATGTCTGTACTGTCTATTGACGTCATTCTGTAAATTTGTTCACCAAAAGGGTAGGGATACTGAACCATGGTAAAGTGAGAGAAGATGTACTTAGAAGTGTGGGTTGTCCAAGGATAAGAACATCATTCCTGTACGTTCCACTAAAGTACAGGTTCATTTTAGACTAGAAATATTTGAAAAAACACTACCCCAAGCTCTAATTCAAGTTAAAACAAGATTTAATGCTTATTTTCAGTAGTGTTCAAATTGACAAATTCCAAATAAAAGAATTTGGGAACATTATTATTTTATTAATATTATACTGCTTTTCTCTTTTTTGTGTGCTTTCCAAGCTTAATTTTAGGTTGTCTTAATGTTGAAAACCAAATCTCACATGCCCAGTGTTGTAGATGTTTTTCCTGCTGTCTTCAGCATATGATTTCTGTCAACTGTCAGGTCCCTTTGCTTCAGCCTGATTTCCTGTCCCCCGACTTAGAAGTTACATTCAAATGCTTCAAAACTACGTCCCCCACACTTAGGTATATATAGGATTGGTGGTGGAATCCCTAGATTATCTTATATTTCTCTATTCACTAATATTACCTATGAGTTGAGAGGCTATCAGGAGGCTCCAATTGAGGGGAAAGTAAAAGGATTGTTTATAATGTTCCTATATCCCATTCAAGATTTTAATAAAAAGATTTATCATCATATAAAACCTTCCCCATTAATTGGAAAAATACTTATTTCTTCCAGTTGTTTCCCCAAATTGGGTGTGATCTGTTCCTTTATTTCTTAATGTGTCTATTCCATACTGCACAGCTAGCTCTTCCTGATAGACTGATGATGCTAATTTCCTCTTGTTTCCTTTAATGATTAACTAGGCAAATACTCATGTTCCCTTGTTGATTTAAAGCCTGTAGTTTCTGTGTTTGTTTCTCTGGCTCTCCTAATTCTGTTTCAGGAGAAAACACAGTAAACTTTCTCTCACTTTTTCCCCTAGTGAAGCAGAAGTGTGATCTTGAATCTAGGATTTGACAAATTTTGTTTGTGTATAACTCAGGTAAAATAGATACTTGGTAAAAATAAATGTATTATCATAACCTTGTAAGAAAACAGAGTAACAAATTTAAAAGGACAAGTTTTTGGCTTTCTTTTCCTCTCTTGGAATGGTATACATTGATTAGCATACTTGATGTCATCTGTTTTCATTCTGTTTCAGAAAAATGTAACATATCTTGACCACCTGACACAGAAATTACTTATCTCCATTCTTTATTGTTCACTATCTGTTCTACATCTTGAGTATCTGTGGTTCAGGTGGAATAGTGTCCTTCTCTCTCTCTCTCCCCCAACAGCTTTATTATTAAAGTATAATTGATGTGCAATAAACTGCACATACTTAACGTGGTGTACCATTTGGTGAGTGTTGATATATGTATACACTCCTGAAACCATCGCCACAGTCAAGATAATGAACATATCTATCACCCTGAAAGTTTGCTCAAGCCCTTTTGTAATCCATCATCCACCTGTCCCTCCCTCCTCTCCCCATCCCCAGGCAACCACGTTCTGTCGTGATAGATCAGTTTATATTTTCTAGAATTGTACATAAATGGAACCATACAGTGTTACTCTTTTTTTGTCTGGCTTTTTTCAACGTAACTTTTTAAAGATTATCCATATTATTGTGTCTATCAGTAGTTCATTTCTTTTTATTTTTGGGTAGTATTCCATTGTATGTATATACAGTGGTTTATCATTCACTTATTGATAGATATTTGGGATGGAATGTTTTTTTTTTGTTTTTTTTTTTTTTTGATACACGGGCCTCTCACTGTTGTGGCCTCTCCCGTTGCGGAGCACAGGCTCCGGACACGCAGGCTCAGCGGCCATGGCTCACGGGCCCAGCCGCTCCGCGGCACGTGGGACCTTCCCGGACCGGGGCACGAACCCGTGTCCTCTGCATCGGCAGGCGGACTCTCAACCACTGCGCCACCAGGGAAGCCCTGGAATGTATTTTTTAAGATAAATTAGAACCCCGGGGAATTTTTATTTTCTTTGTTCGACTAGCTATTTCCCAGAGACATGCAAAGAAAGGTGAAGAAAGGACCTACTTGAAATGGTAGTTTGCTTTGCCCTAAATTGACTTGCAGTGATCTGTTTCACTCTCTCGTATCTTTGGCAGGCTTTGGTGTTAAGATGTTGAGTACTGCCAACATGAAAAGCAGTCAGTATATTCCCGTGCATGGCAAACAGATACGTGGACTGGCTTTCAGCAGTCGATCCAAAGGCTTACTTCTCTCTGCTTCCCTAGACAACACTATTAAACTGACCAGGTGAGTGTTTTGTGGGGAAGATGGGCCCTAGGTTGCCTAGGGTTGAATAGTGTGGAAATTAGTTATCTGTGTTATGATGACCTTGGCTTTTGTGGGGGTGGGATGGGAGATGTCTAAGGCATTGTCTTCTCAGATCCAGCTTCATTGAATTTAAAATGTATTGCTTTAAAAAGTGGATACAGCTGGTGATAAAACAGAACATGTGGTGTTCCGTCTCCTTAAAATTATATATGTTACAAAATATATCTTAAGTCATGCAGATGAGAGTAACACCCTAGAGTTGGTAGAATGACAGTATGGAGGGAGCCTTGGTACTGACACCGTGGAGTCACCATACTAGCTTGGGACTGCTTATTCCTTGTCTGTTCCCGGATCGTTGTGCCTAACAGAAATGCCTACCAGGAACTCATTGTCCTGGGTGCCATGATGACTGCTCTCATCAGTAACTACATTTTATCAGTAGTCAGTTACTACATTTTATCTTTCACATGCTCTGCAAGTACCCTGAACCAGATCTGAGTGTGCTCCATGCCTTTATCTTTTAGAAAGTAGTTCTAACCCACACACCTATGGCCACCTAATCTATGACAAAGGAGGCAAGAATATAGAATGGAGAAAAGACAGCCTCTTCAATAAGTGTTGCTGGGAAGACTGGACAGCTACATGGAAAAGAATGAAATTAGAACACTCCCTAACACCATACATAAAAATAAACTCAAAATGGATTAAAGACTTAAATTTAAGGCCAGACACTTTAAAACTCTTAGAGGAAAACATAGGCAGAGGACTACCCTGGGGGTGCATAAGAATCTGCCTGCCAATGCAGGGGATATGGGTTCGAGCCGTGGTCCAGGAAGATCCCACATGCCATGGAGCAACTAAGCCCGTGCGCCGCAACTAAGCCCGTGCACCACAACTAATGAGGCTGCGCTCTAGAGCCCGCAAGCCATGTCTACTGAGCCCACGTGCCACGACTACTGAGCCAGCACACCTGGAGCCTGTGCTCCACAACAAGAAAAGCCACCACAATGAGAAGCCTGCACACCGCAACAAAGAGTAGCCCCTGCTCACCGCAACCAAAGAAAGCCCATGTGCAGCAACAAACCCCAATGCAGCCAAAAAGAAATAAGTAAATAAATAAACTTATTGTTTTTAAAAAAACAAAAACATAGGCAGAACACTCTTTGACATAAATCACAGCAAGATCTTTTTTTTTTTTTCTTGGCGGTACGCGGGCCTCTCACTGTTGTGGCCTCTCCCGTTGTGGAGCGCAGGCTCAGCGGCCATGGCTACGGGCCTAGCCGCTCCGCGGCATGTGGGATCTTCCCGGACCGGGGCACAAACCCGTGTCCCCTGCATCAGTAGGCGGTCTCTCAACCACTGCGCCACCAGGGAAGCCCGCAAGATCTTTTTTGACCCACCGCCTAGAGTAATGAGAATAAAAACAAACAAAAGGGACCTAATTAAACTTAAAAGCTTTTGTACAGCAAAGGAAACTATAAGACAAAAAGACAACCCCTCAGAATGGGAGAAAATATTTGCAAATGAAGCAGCTGACAAAGGATTAATCTCCAAAATACACAAACAGCTCATGCAGCTCAATATCAAAAAAACAAATAACCCAGTCAAAAAATGAGCGGAAGACCTAAGTAGACATTTCTCCAAAGAAGACATACAGATAGATGGCCAACCATGAAAAGATGCTCAACATCACTAATTATTAGAGAAATGCAAATCAAAACTATAATGAGGCATCACCTCACACTGGTCAGAATGGCCACATCAAAAAATCTACAAACAGTAAATGCTGGAGAGGGTGTGGAGAAAAGGGAACTCTCTTACACTGTTGGTGGGAATGTAAATTGATACAGCCACTATGGAGAACAGTATGGAGGTTCCTTAAAACACTAAAAATAGAACTACCATATGACCCAGCAATCCCACTACTGGGCATACACCCAGAGGAAACCATAATTCAAAAAGACACATGCTGCAGACTTCCCTGGTGGCACGGTGGTTAAGAATCTGCCTGCCAATGCAGGGGACACGGGTTCAAGCTCTAGTCCAGGAAGATCCCACATGCCACGGAGCAACTAAGCCCCTGTTGTACGACTACTGAGCCTGTGCTCTAGAGCCCGTGAGCCACAACTACTGAGCCCATGTGCCACAACTACTGAAGCCCACACGCCTAGAGCCTGTGCTCCACAACAAGAGAAGCCACTGCAATGAGAAGCCAGTGCACCGCAACAAAGAGTAGCCCCCGCTCAGTGCAACTAGAGAAAGCCCGCGCACAGCAGCGAAGACCCAATGCAGCCAATAAATAAATTAATTAATTGAAAAAAAAGAAAGACACATGCACTCCAGTGTTCATTGCAGCTCTATTTACAGTAGCCAGGACACGGAAGCAACCTAAATGTCCATCAACAGAGGAATGGATAAAGAAGATGTGGTACGTATATACAATGGAATATTATTCAGCCATAAAAAGAAACGAAATTGGGTCATTTGTAGAGACATGGATGGACCTAGAGACTGTCATGCAGAGTGAAGTAAGTCAGAAAGAGAACAACAAATATATTAACACATATATGTGGAATCTAGAAAAATGGTATAGATGATCTTATTTGCAAAGCAGGAATAGAGACACAGACATAGAGAACAAATGTATGGATACCAAGGGGGAAAAGAAGGGGGTGGGAGGAATTGGGAGATTAGGATTGACATATATACACTATTGCTATTATGTATAAAATAGGTAACTAGTGAGAACCTACTCTATAGCACAAGGAACTCTACTCAGTGCTCTCTGGTGACCTAAATGGGAAGGAAATCCAAAAAAGAAGGTATCTATGTATACATATAGCTGATTCCTTTTGCTGTACAGTAGAAACTAACACAAGATTGTAAAGCAACTATACTCCAATGAAAATTAATTTTTAAAAAAAAAGTAGTTCTGATTAAATGTCTCTTAGTTGGCTTCTTATTTAATTTCTGCAGCTAAATCTGAGGGACATCATGATGCCTGCTCCAGGCCTGATATACCTTTTGACTTTTCAAGAATGCTTCAGCTTAATTTTACCCCAAAAATCAATGTACCGTTATGTTTTATGTGTATCTATATGCTATGACTTATTTTAGTAGTGTTGAAAAATAGGGGGAGAAAGAAAGGTTAAATAACAAAGTGTTATTAATGACTACCTCTGGATGATTGGATTATAATTTATTTTTATTTTTCTTATATGTATTTTCTAATTTTTCAATATTAAATATTGATTACCTGTGTAATAGGTAGCTATGGAGAAGGTAATAGGGGTAGAGTAGGGAATGTACTGTCTATCTGTCCCTTTAACTTATTCTTTTACTTCCTTACAGCTCAGGAGGGAAACCTGTGTCCCCTAAGACAAATATTTTGGCATTAAAAGGAGTTATCTGGGCAGTCCCTAGGGGAAATTGGGAATCCAGACAGTTTTGGTGTGTGGTTATGTTCTTAAAGGATCATCATTAAAATGATAATCTTTACATCTTTCTTCTGTATTTGATTTTTGTAATGCATAGTTGTAAAAATCTTTTTTAACTCCACAGCCTGGAGACAAATACTGTGGTCCAGACTTATAATACTGGACGTCCTGTCTGGAGCTGCTGCTGGTGTCTTGATGAAAACAATTACATGTATGCTGGATTGGTCAACGGTTCAATTCTGTTGTATGACCTTCGAAACACAAGCTCTCATATCCAGGAGTTAGCACCTCAGAAAGCTAGGTAGGGAGCCACCTGTAGGTAACAGCTTTCTCTTAGACTGTTATTGTATTAATCCTGTCTTTTGAGAGTGTTTCACAGTTGATCAGAATTCCTAACAGAGGGCAGTTCTCTGAGTCCACTGATCTATTCTCACTTCAGAATCAGTAACATCCTTAGAGTTTGTGTTCGTGATAGTTCATATGGGAGAAAGTTCTGGTACCAAATATAACCAGATTCACCCAACATGCCAAAATGAAATCAGATCTATGTTCAGAGCCCAGCTCCACCATTTATGAGCTGTGTGACCTTGGTCACATTTCTTGGCCTGTTACGAGCTTCATCTGTGAAATATGGTTAGCACAGTCTTGCTTTAATAGACACGTGTCTAACACACAGGAAGAGATCAGTAGAGAGCAGCCCAAGAAAAAGTGATTTAAAACTTCCCTAATCCACAGCTGAACCATCTTACTATGATTTATCCATTTATAATCCAGTTATAGAGTTGGGAGGTTTGTGAAGTTGGCCCAGGTTCTGAGGATGGGTAGCCACCAGCATCACTTTGGCTCTTCAGAGTGTACTAAAAGGGGGGTAGAGCAATCTAAACATAAAGATATCACTATAGTAATAATTGTTTACTGAAACCTAGCCTCAACACTGTGGGGCCTTCTTTTCGTTTGGGTTGAGTGGAATCGTTCTTCAGTGATGTGGTTCATGGGCCTGAAGGTGACTGATGTAAGTTTATACAAATACGAACTCCAGGCAAACAAGGTGACTGCCATCGATATAGAGGATCCACGTAGAGTAGACAATAAAATACAGCAAATAGCAAGGGATGAATATGTATTCGTTTTTGTTTTAGTTTGCTTAGGTTAGCTTCATTATGACAAGGAAATGAAACAAAGCAGGCAATGTGATCACTTTGGCAGCTTCAGCAGAAACGAGTTCATAGGAACATAGTCTGTAGGCTAACATTTCTGAGAGAACTCTTGGCATGCAGTCTGGGTCATATGATTGCAGAACGACATTTAGAAAATCTCTAAAGAAACAATCCTGTTTCTGAATTTAAATGTAGTTGCTTTAGGCTGTTTTGTTTTTTGGCCGTGCCACACAGCTTGTAGGATCTTAGTTCCCTGACCAGTGGTTGAACCTGGGCCCACAGCAGTGAATGCACAGATTCCTAACCACTGGACTGCCAGGGAATTCCCTAGGCTGGATTTTAATTGAGGGGGTCTGTCAACTACAGCTTGGAAGCTTTAGTTTATTAGATGTATAAGCTGAATTTCCTTCCTGACCTTTCTTGTGTATGTGGCTAACCCCATTTCCAGAAGCTTCACATCAATCAGATCTTGTGTTTGTAACCTTGTACTTTTAAATTTCCTAGTCCATTTTTTTTCCCGTTGCTTTTAGAGCATGTGGTGTCTCCTCTGAAACTGAACGTGGAATATTATATGTATGCTCTTTTGTTTCTGCAGAGTGGGTTGGTAGTTTTATCAGCTATCAGAGGATAGTGACCCTCAGAAGTTTTTTAACCTTTTCTATAGAGTTAGGAAAGTCCTCAAGGGCTCCTGGTAGTGGGGTCTGGAGCAATCCAAGTATTGGAAGGTGAGGCATGATTTCCTTTCTTTCCCTTCAGATGCCCGCTGGTATCCCTGTCATACATACCCAGAGCTGCCTCGGCTGCATTTCCATATGGTGGGCTGTTGGCTGGAAGCTTGGAGAATGCTTCCTTTTGGGAGCTGAAAATGGGCTTTACTCATTGGCCTCATGTGCTGCCCATGGAGCCTGGGGGCTGCATAGACTTTCAGACAGAGAGCAGCAGCCGGCACTGTCTTGTGACCTACAGGCCTGGTAAGTGTTGTTCGCATGTCCTCGTGGGACCTGTGGTTTGTTTGGGAGCAGATCGGTAGAGGGGAGAAAAGGAGAGCTTGTCCTAGCCTTCAGGTGGTACTGGTAAGCCCCTCACAGACTAATAGCTCTTGCTACTACAGTGAGGACAGTGGCCCCGAGTTCTTCCGTAGAGCCTGCCTCCCTTTTCCTCACTTGTGTGAACGGGGACATATTTGGCCAGGTACTCCTTGGAAGTGAATTAGCCACTTTAGGAGCCCCTGTGACTTAAGGCAGTAGTGGAATGAGGAGACCTGCTCTTGAAGCCACTGAGCTACCCTTAGATCAGTTTCATGTTTTCTACTTGCCCCTCATTTCACTTAAAAGAAAGGCCCAGATAAGGGGGGTCATGTAGAGAGCCCAGACTCTAGGCTATTAGCTGTTCTTCCTTATTTGGGGCCAACAAACATAAGTGAAGAGTAGACGGACAACTGTAGTGGCCCGAGCCAGCTGAACTTCTCATGCCCTCCAGAACCAGGACTGCAACCCTCGACTAGCAACTATGCTAAAATTCACAGGTTTTTCCTAGCTGAAAGGTATGAATCTAAATTCCTGATGAGCTATATTGATGGTCAGGCAGATGTTTTGTAAGAGATAGTCATTAAAGTGCCCAGTAACCTTGTACTTTTAAATTTCTGCTAGTTGTGGATTGACCTAAGCATTTTAAGTTTTGTTTGAGCTGAGAAGCTGCTTCAGCAGACTCTTCTTTCCTTTTTGGTTTTAGTCATCTAGGTCCTCTATCTCCAAGGATTTGCTATGACTTTAGAAAGCTTGGGGATCCCATTTTGTTCTCTAGCTTTTGTTTGCCTCCCAGCAGAACCACTTGTATATGTTTCCCCTTCTGTAATAATATGCTTTCACTTTATATGTACAGTTCCGGGGATTAATGGGGTCCTGACTTGGGGAAGGAAAAAGCCTTGTAGTCAGAACCCTTAAGGAAGACAAAAACCCAAACAGAGGTCTGGCCAGTTACAGTGATTTTCGTAAAAAGGCTAGCTCATTCTCAGAATTGTATCCCTCATATACAAAAACCTATTGTAGATAACTTGCTTCATCCTAGCCTAGGGTTCTGAATTTCATTTATGATGTATTATTTTGTTCTTGTTATGTTTGCTCTGTATCTATTCATGATGGTTTGATAAAATTGTGCCCTTTCCACTCAACTAACTGGTAACCAAGTTCATGTATTTGGTTAATTTCTTTGGACCATCCCCATGGATCAATACTGATTTCTCTGTCTCATAGATAAAAATCACAAAACCTTACGAAGTGTACTCATGGAGATGTCCTATAAGCTGGATAATGCTGGAGAGCCAATCTGTTCCTGCAATTCTGTACAAACATTCCGTGGGGGACCCACTTGCAAACTACTGACCAAAAGTGCCATTTTCCAAAATCCAGAGAATGATGGCAGCATCCTGGTGTGTACTGGGGATGAAATGTCAAATTCTGCCCTGGTGAGTAGTCTGTCAGTTTTTTATACTGACGTATATAAAGCAAAGAGCCAAAGTTCTCCATAATTGCATGTATCTTCATACGGGTATGTGTGTGGTTGCTTAGTTTATTTTTTACACAAGTCACACTTTATTGATACATACTACTCTATAGTTTGCTCTTTCCCATTTAACTTCCTGTTTTGGATATCTTTCCATACCAGTATCTTTAGATTGACCTCACTCTTTTTATGTGAGCTCTAGTGTCTCATGGGCCGTATTGTGAACCTTTTTAAAAAAGCGCTACTGAAACCTCTATAAAATAATTAATCAGGCATCAGCTTCATCAATTCAGGATGAATTTACAGTGGAGGGGTCAGCCTGTCACCACCTGAATACACTGATCAACCTTGCATCACTGTAAATGGGTTAACCAGAAATAATTTGCCTCTTGATGTTAGGCAAAATGAAGCACACGATGCCTTCTGTGTGTTGTCCTTGAACCCATAGAGTAGCACTGTCCAATTATGTCACACGGGCCATGTGAGCACTTGAAAGTAGTTAATGTGAATGAAGAACTTAATTGTAAAATTTTTATGTAATTTAAATGTAAAGAGCCTTATGTGGCATACTGTATAACACAGGAAACTGCTTAATGCACTGTGGTGACCTAGATGGGAAGGAAATCCAAAAAAGAGGGGATATATGTATATGTATAGCTGATTCATTTTGCTGTACAGTAGATACTAAAGCAGATGTCTTTTTTTTTTCCTTTGGCTGCGTTGGGTCTTCGTTGCTGCACACGGGCTTTTTTCTCTAGGTGTGGCGAGTGGGTGCTACTCTTCATTGCGGTGTGCAGGCTTCTCATTGCAGTGGCTTCTCTTGTTGTGAAGCATGGGCTCTAGGCACACGGGCTCAGTAGTTGTGGCTCACGGGCTCTAGAGCGCAGACTCAGTAGCTGTGGTACACGGGCTTAGTTGCTCAGCAACATGTGGGATCTTCCCGGACCAGGGCTCGAACCCGTGTCCCCTGCATTGGCAGGCAGATTCTTAACCACTGCGCCACCAGGGAAGTCCCAAGAAAATGTCTTTTTTTTAGAGATGTATACTTATGTATATAAGGGTAAAATGACATGATGTCAGCAAAGAAAAAAGTAAAATCAATAAAGCATGTATGGTAAAAGCTTAGTAATCTGGGTGATGGATGGCTCATTGTACTATTGTACTTTTTATTACTTTAATCTTTTTTTTCCACAATAAAAAATTTTTTTAAAGGAGAAGAAAGTACCAGTTAGAATATAGGTTCCATGAGGACAGAGACAGGGACTTTTTGTCTTGTTGACCCTTTTTTCCCTAAAAGAGTTCTTGGCACATAGATTGAAGGAGTGAATACTAGGCTTGGTTTTCAGATCCACTCACAGGTAGACTAATTGCTGATTTTAGTAGGTGAGGCCATACGTGACCTGTGTCAGGTATGTTGGCTTTGTGCAACCTTGTGAAGGTTAGGGACAGTCTGTTTTGCTCCTTGCAGTGCTTTCAAAGTTGTGTGATGATAAAGAATGCAAGTCCCTAGCTGAATTGAAGGGACCTAGCTGACCTTTATCTCTGCTTTTCTTTTTTAGCTGTGGGATGCTGGCAGTGGCTCGTTGCTGCAGGAACTGCAGGCTAATCAGCCTGTCTTGGACATCTGCCCATTTCAGGTGAACCATAACAGCTACTTGGCTACCTTAACGGAGAAGATGGTCCACATCCATAGGTGGGAGTGACCATGGTCTTGAAACTTGTCGGACATGCTGCTGGTTAATGTTAAATGTTGTTTGTTAGCACCTGGCAGCCCTGAGCAAGATCTGTGCTTAATGTCTGTGGCCTAGAACTTTTGGGATTGTGGCAGTGTCCATCAAAAGAGTCAGTGACTGGTACTCCATCACATTATACATTTCTTGGGGGTAAAAGCCTTCATGAATCTTCATTGAGAATCAATATTTTTGATCGAACTTACTGCTGAACCTCGGAGAGTATTCTCCCAGAAGTCATTTAGGATATGTGTGTGCACCAAGCATTTCCAGAGGATGTGACATCCCACCAGAGTGGTCTTGTCACTTGAGCTATATGACTTGGGAACGTGTATGTTCCTGAAGGGACTAACGGTCTTTCTGATGCTGCTTGGATGCAGCCTGGATGCAAAAGAATCTTTCGTTGAACACAAGAGGGCACTGTAGAATCTTCCAAAGGATTTGATCTATTTCTGACCTTGCGGGCTGATAACCTTTTAGTAACTTGGTCTCATCCCTACAGAAGTGTGTGGTAGAGCACATCTGGTCTGCTTTGTGGCAGGAACAGTAATGTTCAGGTGTGCAGTGCTGGGATATTGGTAAACCCAGTGATGGTGGTGGCTGATGAGCTGTAGACCCTTCCCTAATGCCGAGTGTATGGAGTTCATCACATTGTGGGAGTCAAGGAACGAGACCAATTGTTTGAGCAGTGAGGAAGACTCACTTTTTTTTCTAGCCAGCTTAGGATCTCAGGATTGGTTTTATATAAGCCAATGCTTTGAAGGCCACTCTTTGTCTATCTCACTAGGAAAAGATGAGCCATATGTCAGAGCTCTTACTTGAGTCTCCTAGTATGAGAGATAAGGAGCAAGGGGCTAATAACCAAGAGAGGCCTACAAAAGAGAAGCTACTCAGACTGCTGTTGAAAGCAAAAAAAGGACTTGTCTTTTCCATTTTGAAAGAGTTTCTCTCTGAATAAAGTCAACCCCTTGGAGTGAGGAGCCATTCTTGAGCGTGTTTAGAATTCCCAGGTTAAATCCTTCCCCCAGGTGAAACTGATGTTTGATTCCAAGTTCCTCTGATTTGCCTCCCTTCCTAACTTTAAAAAAAAGTGTTGTTAGTTAAACAGTTATTCTCAGGAAGATAATAGTGGTTGGAGGCCTATGTGGTTTGCAGGGAGATGCCCACCAGCTTTCATTTCAGCCCTGGATTGTCCAACTTTGGGAGCTGCACTTTTCTCCAATAGAGGGCTCAGTTTATATCTGTTTACTTTGCTAAAGGCTGCTCTTCTAAACTATTGTCCACAACAGAACATGTCTCAAGGTGTGTGCTCCTTGTTCTTGGGAGCAGGATGGCTAACAATGTGATTTTCTTAAATAATTGTAGAAATTTTATCATTTTTATTTTAAAACAGTTCTGACGGTCAACTCCTGAACTGTTTCCAGCATTTCTTACCAGCAAGGGGTTATTGCAGTAGATTTCCCCAGAGTTCCACATTCTAGTTGTGCTTTTAAAGAGTGGCCTCCTATTTAAGGACATCTTTCAAAAAGCCAGTTTCCAGAGCCTGGGAAAGAGCCCCCTTTTCTAGAGGAGGTGTTCCTTTTGATATGTTGATGACTAAGAATGACTACCCTTGCCTAGAGCTTCAGTGGCAGAAAAGGATTTGAATTAAAAAGCAGAGCTCGGGCTTCCCTGGTGGCGCAGTGGTTGAGAGTCCGCCTGCCGATGCAGGGGACACAGGTTCGTGCCCCGGTCTGGGAGGATCCCACATGCCGCGGAGCGGCTGGGCCCGTGAGCCATGACCGCTGAGCCTGCGCGTCCAGAGCCTGTGCTCCGCGACGGGAGAGGCCACAACAGTGAGAGGCCCACGTACCGCAAAAAAAAAAAAAAAAAGCAGAGCTCATCTGGTTTCAGCTGATGATAACAGAGAGGATGCAAGTGGTCAGGCCCTGGCTGCCTTTGTCTTTGGCAGAGGCAGAACCCAGGGCAGGGTTAGGATTTGACTAATGTTGAAGTACACTCAGCTGATGCTGATTAATCCCCCCAAGTGTAGGAACCAAGGGACTTGTATTACTAGGGAAGTTGGAAGAATCTCATGTCTTACCAATCCTTGCATTTCTCTAGTAAATTTAGATGTTTTAGAAGCAAATTCTTGGGACTGTGACTGATTTCTCCAAAGGAAAAAAACTTTGCCCCTGCCCCCACTCACCTCTGCCTGGCAGGAGAGATTACCTCTGTAGACCCAGACTCTGCCCCACCATGTTCCCTTACCCTGACTCTAAGGTTGTTTTCCCATTTGAGGGTTTGGAGTTAAGCAGACTCAAAAATATTTTCTTGTTGTATATATCCTTGTACCTGCTTTGAAAACCGGACAATGGGATCTCTTCATGTTCTGTGTTTTATGTTTTAATGTTAATATGAAAATAAAGCATTTACCATGTGTACCTACTCCTGATGTCTTTTGTCTTTTTTTTTTTGGCTGTGTTGGGTCTTAGTTGCAGCACACGGGATCTTCATTGCCATGCACAGGCTTCTCTCTAGTTGTGGAGTGCAGGCTTCTCTTTAGTTGTGGCATGCGGGCTTTCTAATTGTGGCGCTTGGGCTCCAGTGGTAGCCCTAGAGTTGGCCATGACCCCAGTTCCTCTCATGAAGGTGGTATCCTGACGAGGTAGAGAGAGTGACAGTACTTAACATCACTAGGCAAACAATATGTGCCTTCCATCACCTGAGTCACTTGCTGCCTGAGTCAAGGAAAGGAAACAAATACATTAGCAGATGCTAACATTTGCTTCTCTGATTAAGACCCCTCCCTCTCCCCCCCCAAAAAAAGAGACGTGAAATTCCTTTAGGAACCATAGTTTGTACAACTTGGCAAATTGTTGTAAGGGAGGTTGAACACCCACACTCCAGAATACTGGGTTCTTCTCTCTGGGTCTTACAACCCTAGACAATCTAGGGTTCTCACCCTAGACAATCACTGAGATTTCTGTGACAAACAAGTTCAGATCCCTTAGCTGGATAATTTGGAGTGCCTGGAAGTATGTTATTCCATTTTTCATCCCTTTACTCTTTTTTTTTTTTTTTTTTTTTTGCGGTACGCAGGCCTCTCACTGTTGTGGCCTCTCCCGTTGCGGAGCGCAGGCTCAACGGCCATGGCTCACGGGCCTAGCCACTCCGCGGCATGTGGTATCTTCCCAGACCAGGGCACGAACCCGTGTCCCCCGCATCGGCAGGTGGACTCTCAAACCACTGCGCCACCAGGGAAGCCCCATCCCTTTACTCTTGTTGGTATTAAGCAACTGCTGTCATTCCAGCTCAGTAGTCATACTGTTTTGTTTTGTTTCTAAAAATTAAAAAATAATCAGAATAGTTCATTTTAGATTTATAATAACAGCCTACATTTACTGAGTATGTACCTAATGCTGTGGTGTACCTTTTATATGAAAGGAACTCTCAGAGAAGTGAAAGAATTTGCCCAGGTGTGGTGGCCATGAACATGAGCCTTTCAGATCTCCGACCAAGGAGGGCATAATTGACTGCTGTTCCAGCTGCTGAGCTCTGAAATCCACTGCTGCATCACAGCAAGGCCGCACTTTCCAAGGGTTGCTCCCAGCCAGTGACTGAGGATGGCAGGGATACTAAGGCAGGCCCATTTCTGGGAGACGCTGAATGCCTGACAGGCAACTTTAGCTTGAGGACTCTCCAGTGTTGTTGGCCAAACTTTCTTAGACTTGAACTTCAGTCTAAGTTGTTTCCACCTAACCATCCTTGCTTCCTCCCTCTCTATCTCTGCTTCACATGGGTGAGATCTGTGTATTTGCTCTAATTGCCTCATCTATGTGGAATCATGCAGTATTTGTCTTGTTGTGACTGGCTTATTTCACTTAGCATAATGTCTTCGAAGTTCATCCATGTTGTAGCATGTATCAGAATTTCCTTCTTTTTTAAGACAATGATGTTCCATTGCATGCATAGACCACATTTTGCTTATCCATTCATCTGTCGGTGGACACTTGAGTTGTTTCCACATTTTAGCTATTATGAACAATGTTGCTATGAACATGGGTGTACAGATATCTCTTTGAGACCCTGCTTTCAATTCTTTTGGGTATATACCCAGAAGTGGAATTGTTGAATCGTATGGTAATTCTCTTCTTAATTATTTGAGGAACTGCCATACTGTTTTTCCACAGCAGCTGTGCCATTTTACATTCCCACTAACAGTGCATAAGAGTTTCAGTTTCTCCACATCCTCTTCAACTCTTGTTACTTTCTTTTTTTTTTGGGGGGGGTTGTTTGTTTGACATTAGCCATCTGAATGGTGTGAGGTGGCATCTTATTGTAGTTTTGATTTGTATTTACCTAATGATTAGTGATGTTGAGCATCTTTTCATGCGCTTATTGGCTATTTGTATACCTTCTTTAGAGAAATGTTTATTCAAATCCCTTGCCCACTTTATTTATTTTTTATTTATTTATTTTATTTATTTATTTTTGGCTGTGTTGGGTCTTTGTTGCTGCGTGTGGGCTTTCTCTAGTTGCGGTGAGCGAGGGCTACTCTTTGTTGTGATGTGTGGGCTTCTCATTGCAGTGGCTTCTCTTGTTGCAGAGCATGGGCTCTAGGTACGTGGGCTTCAGTAGTTGTGGCTCGTGGGCTCTAGAGCGCAGGCTCAGTAGTTGTGGCACACGGGCTTAGTTGCTCCACGGCATGTGGGATCTTCTTGGACCAGGGCTCGACCCCATGTCCCCTGCATTGGCAGGCAGATTCTTAACCACTGCGCCACCAGGGAAACCCGCCTTGCCCACTCTTAAATTGGGTTGTTTGGTTATTTGTTGATGCCTAATCCCATTTTGTTTTCTGCTTCCTGCTAGACCTAGATAACACGGGTATGCCAGGAGTGTTCCGGGAAATTTGGTAAGATGGGGATGATTGAGGCCCAAGAATAATAAAGACCAGGTGGCAATGCTTAACTTCCAGAAGCCAGGAGACCACAATTCCATTATTACCAGCAAGATTGAAGAGCTGACTAAGGGGTCTTGACCCGCAGGGAGTTGGGGAGAGAGTTAATAAAAGACAGCATCCCTAGGGGCAAAATAGACACAGCCAATGAGGGTGCTTTTTTTTTTTTGCAGTACTCAGGCCTCTCACTGTTGTGGCCTCTCCCACTGCGGAGCACAGGCTCCGGACGCGCAGGCTCAGCGGCCATGGCTCACGGGCCTAGCCGCTCCGCGGCATGTGGGATCTTCCCGGACCGGGGCACGAACCCGTGTCCCCTGCATCGGCAGGCGGACTCTCAACCACTGCACCACCAGGGAAGCCCAATGAGGGTGCTTTTTAACATCTATAAACAAAAAATTCCATAAGAAAGGAGGGGCAGGAGGCTAAAGGTGGTCATCCCCAAAGGTCATGCTCCTTTGCTCAGTTTCTAGACCTGAGCCAATTTTCAGATCCAGAGCCCATTGATGAATAAGTAGTTGGGAGCCTAGGAACAAAGACCCTACAACACCATGCCAAGCATATGGTTCCTTCAGTCTTTCCCCACAGAGACTCAATGGCCATTTACTTGGGTGACTATACACTGACAAAAGAGAAATAACCATCTATTTGAGGACTATTGGACATTTGGTCCAAGTTGCCATTGATACTCAGACTAAAAGCATCATCATAGGTCCCTGGCCCCTGGGGACCTGGTACTATAAATGGAGTCCTGGCTAGATTATGGCTCACAGTGGCCCCACTGGTTATGTGGACCCATCCAGTGATCATTTCCCCAGTCCCCAAGTATATAACTGGAAATGATCTAGAATAATCCAGACCTAGAAACACTAGATCATTATGAAAATGATCTGGAAACATGTGGTGTCTCTGGCCTGTGGGGTTAGAATTACCATTACAGGGACTTCCCTGGTGGCGCAGTGGTTAAGAATCCGCCTGCCAATGCAGGGGACATGGGTTTGATACCTGGTCTGGGAAGATCCCACATGCCACGGAGCAGCTAAGCCCGTGCACCACAACTACTGAGCCTGTGCTCTGGAGCCCGCGAGCCACAACTCCTGAGTCCGTGCGCCTAGAGCCTGTGCTCCACAACAAGAGAAGCCACTGCAATGAGAAGCCTGCACACTGCAACAAAGAGTAGCCCCCGCTTGTTGCACCTGAAGAAAGCCTGTGCACAGCAATGAAGACCCAACGCAGCCAAAAATAAATTAATTAATTAAAAAAAAATACCATTACAGGAAAGGCCAAATGTAAACCTTGGAAACTGCTCTGCAATCACTGGCCAGGATAATAAATTAAAAGCAATGTTGGGAATTCCCCAGCAGTCCAGTGGTTAGGACTCAGCACTTTCACTGCCATGGTCTGGGTTCAGTCCCTGATCAGGGAACTAAGATCCTGCAAGACGCGTGGCGTGACCAAGAAAAACAAAAAAAAGCAGTGTCTTACTGGGGGATGGGGGATGGTG